GCCCGCCTCTAGAAACGAAAGAAGAACCGAGCCCACCTCTAGAAACGAGGGAAGAGCCGGGCCCACCTCTAGAAAAGGAGGAAGAACCGAGTCTACAACTAGAAATCGAGACTAAAATGGAGCGAACAGTGGTGCCGGACGTAACAAGAGTAGCGCCAAGAGAGGGGCCAAAAGAGGAGATAAAAGAGGTGGCAAAAGAGGAGACAATGGAAGAGACAAGAGAGGAGGTAATAGAAGGGGCAAAAGAGGAGATAAATGAACAGTCGAAAGAGGAGATAAAAGGAGTGGCAAAAGATGAGCTAATGGAAGAGACAAAAGAGGAAGTAATAGAAGAGTCCAATGAAAAATCTAACGAAGGGCCAAAAGAAGAACCATTGGAAGAGCCAATAAAAGTTTTGAAAGAAGAGCCCATCGATGGGCCAAAATTAGAACTACGGGAAGAACTACTGGCCGGGCCAAACGACCGAAAAGAAAGGACAGACGAAGAGTCAAAGTCAAACGTAGAACCCAGCGAGCCATTTAAAGAGCAAAAATTAGAATCAGGAACAGGGGACTCAAAGGAGAGTCCCAGCACGCTGAGGGAGAGTCGCCGGCCCGTGCGGCGGCCTGAGGCTTGCCTTGAGGCAGGGCTGACAGGGCTGGCAGGGCCCGAAGCGACACAACTCGCGGGGCCGGGCGAGGGCGCGGGAGCGGCAGCCCCTGTGGAGTCCGTGGAGCCCGTGGAGCCCGTGGAGCCGCCGCATCACGTCGAGCCCTGCGCGCTGGCGCTGCCGCTGCCCAGGTCCACCGCCCTGGTCATGAATATTGAGAAGCAGCGCGCGGTGGCCATGGCGTCCAATGCCATGGCGTCCAATGGCAGTGCTGGCAGTGCTCGCAGCGCCACTGGCCGGCAGGCGGGGGGCGACGCCGAGCCCGCAGGGCAGGCGCTGGGGAAATCGCTTTTCGAGCGCCAGGCCGGCCAGGGCCAGGAAATTGCAAGTGGCGGCCCAGATCGAAATTATTCGGCGACGGCAGGAACAGACCCCGATGCGGAGTCACAAATGAAATCTTTTGAAACAGCCGTTGCCATGACGGGGGCCGCGCTGGGGGCGGTCGCCGCCACCGTGGACATCTTCGACTCGCTGCCCGTCCTGTCGCCGGACAGCGAGAAGAACATCGAGCGCCAGTTCGAGTCCCTGGTCACCTCGCGCGACGGGGAGGACGTGGAGTTCGGTACGCTGCTCGGTGACCCGTCGCCGACGGAAGAGTTCCGGGCCCTGGCCGCGGAGAACGCGGCGGAGGACAAGGAGTCTGCGTCGACGCCAGCCCCAGAAGAAGACGCCAGGCCGGCGGCTTGGTGCCCGCCGGGTGCAGGCGACGTGCTGCAGGCCGACGAGGAGCGGCGCCATGAGCAGGCGGCGGAAGAACCCCCGGTCCCGCAGGCAGGCGGCCGCACAGACCTGGCTGCCGCCATCGACGACCTGAGCGCCTTGCTGAAGGCGCAAGGCGCTAGGCGGACGCCCCCCGAGGCCGACAAGGGTGCCGTCGAGGTCGCGGAGGCCACTGCCGAGACCAAAGAGGCGGAGAAGCGCTCAGGAGAAAACATGGAGGACAACGGCGAGGTCGACAACGGCCCCGAGAGAACGCTGCACGAGAACGCTGTGCCGGAGTACGGCTCAGCAAAAGACATGGACGTGTGCCTTGCGCAGGGGGTTTGCGACGACGAGGTGGGGCACCTGTCGGACATCGCGGAGGTCCTAGAGTCGACCATCGACGGCATCGAGGTGGCCCAGCTGGGGCAGGGCGTGGACCCGAAGGGCGTGCTGAAGGAGGACGAGGTCCTGCTGGAGCTGTGCGATAAGCTGCTGCTGCTCGCCGGCCCCTGCCCCGGCCCCGGGACCTGCCCGGCGGCTCCGTCCACCCTCCCGCCGCCCCCGCCCAGCGGCCTGCACAAGATGTACCACGCCCCGCTGCTGCAGTTGGCCGAGCCGGACGACGACATCTTGATCGTGACGCAGACCGACACCACCACGACGATTCGGATGGTCCCGACGCCGCCGCCGTCGCCGCGACTACCGCCCGTGTTCGCGGACGTCGCCTCCGACAAGGCCCCCGTGCCGCCCGCCAGGTCGCCGCGCCGCAAGCACAAGAAGGGCTCCGCCGGGACGTCGCCTGCGGGGCCATCGGCCAGCACGCAGTGGACCTCGCCGACGAAAGCGGAAATGGAGGTGGCGTCAGACCTGCTTCTCGCTCCCCCGTCCGTGGAAACGGAAACCTCCTCGAACTTCCCCCTGGTCTCCCCACTGACAGACGACGTGCAGCTGGTGAAGGCGAAGGCCACATTGCCCTCAGACAACCGTCTGGTGGAGGCGGGGACCTTGTCCGATTTGCCCCTGATACCCTCGCCGGTGAACTTGGCGGTCTTGGCGGATGGAGAGATCCTGGCTGGCCTTCCCCTGATTCTTCCGGCAGTGGACAGAGTGGTGGCCTTGTCCGAGCTGCCTCTGATCCCCTCGCTTGTCGACAACGAAATCCTGGACATGGAGACGGCCTCGGGCCCAGCACCGCCGTCCCTGCCGGCTGAAGAATGCACCACGCCCGCGCCCCAGCTTGAAGCCCCCGGGCTAGATGCCCCCCAACAAGACGTCCTCCAACAAGACGTCCTCAAGTCAGACGTCCCCCAACCAGACGTCCCTCAACCAGATGTCCCCCAACAAGACGTCCCCCAACAAGACGTCCCCCAGCCAGACTGCCCCCAGCTAGACGCCCTCCATGAGGCTCGCCAAGTGGACACGGCGTCACCCTTGGCCTCGCCCGGGGTGGACGTCAGGAGGCTGTCCGTGTACCGCTCGCTGGAGGACGTGAGCGAAACACGCGGCACGCTGTCGCTCGCCGACCAGCACCAGGACGGCGACGTCGACGACTTGGACAGCATCATTTCGGAGGCGGGCTTCCCGCTCAGTATGCGCGTCACGCACCGTAAGGTGTTCTGGGACAATCAAGTGCTGCGCCTGCAGGACGGCGATGGCGGCACTGGCAGGCCACCGACGACGTCCACTGGCGAGGCCGCCGCGCCTCAGCCACTGCAGGGCTCGGCGGGGGGCCGCGGCACCGCCACGGCCGTCGCGAGGGCGGCGGCGACGCGTGCAGCGCCGGCAGACAAGGACAGCGCCGTCCACAACCCCAAAGCCGCCCTGGGAGGAAAGCTCAGGTCGCCGCCGACGGTGCAGCCGCCGGTGCCGGTGGACGTAGACTGCCGGAAGCAGGTACTTCGCGACGCGCGCACGCGCACGGGGGCCGTGGCCAAGGCCGTGGCCGTGGTGGAGGACGCCCTGCCCAGCACGGGCATCGTCAAGTCGGGCAGGCGCTTCTTCGAGGACAGCGCGCAGCTGCAGAAACTGGGCGCTGCCAGGACGCCGCCGGGCCAAGCCGTGGACCCAGTGGTCAGAATCAGGAGGGAGATCGAGGCGCTGGAGAAGCGGGCGCAGCAGCTGCACGCCCCGCAACTCTCCGCCACCAAGAGGCGCGCGCCGCAGCCACCATCGCCGTCGTCGTCGAGTCCGCCGCCCGCCGCGTCCGCCAGCTCCGGGCCGCCGGCCGTGAGCGTTGGGGTGCGTATGGGGGTTCGGGCGGCGGGCAGGACGGCGCTGAGGAAGGACAAGGACGCCCAGCCCACGTCGCCCTCGCCGCAGACCGAGCCGACCACTAAAGGCAAGTGCACACTGTCGATGGGCATTATCTTTACTCTTTAACGCATTTTTAGGGAAATGCTTTAATTCGTTGCCCTAGACGCCGAGCTCCCCGTCATCGAGGTGAACTTGATCCACCCACCCAGTTGTCCTACGGTCGGATCCACTCTTCAGGAACGGAAAGAGAGATTCCAGCAGGCTAAGTCCTTTTTTAGGCACCTAGAAGAGCCCAGCTTCCCGGTGAGTATCCTCCAAATCAGGTTGCTCTTTTGCCTACTGTTTCTGTGAGTTAACTGGAGGAAGCGCTTTTGCCACTCCGCGCAGGGAGCACGCCCACGAGTGTCTCGGAGTGCCACGGCCTCGGCCTGCGCCTCCCCGACGCGGCACCGACCACCCCGGCCCCGGCCCGGCGCGGTCGAGGGCGAGGCCTTCGAGGTCCTGCCCGTCCTGCCCGCGTTGGCTCACTCGGCCCCAACCTCGGCCCCGAGCTCGGACACCGACTCGGGCAGCAGGCGAGGCGGCGGCGAGCAGCGCACCTCCAAGGCCAAGGTGGCCGACCGGTTCCACGTCAAGGGCGTATACCAGGTGCGCCAAGGGCAACTACTTTCTCTCGGCGCCCTGCTCTCCCAGCCTGGAGTATCATCGCCGTGCTTGTCTCGCAGGACGTCCTGGGCAGTGGCCGGACGACGAGCAGCCTCAAGGGCACGCCGCACCGCAAGGCCGTGCTGGCCGCCCTCAGCTCCATGGACGCGCCCGCTGAGGCCGCCTCCCCCTACGACAGTCTGGCGGCCGGCGGCGACGGCCTGCTGCGCAAGTCGTTCGAGGACTTGGACGCGGACGCGGGGCCGCCGCCGTACTCGCCGCCACCCCCTCCACTCGCCCGCGACTACCAGAAGGACTTCCCCTACTTGTCCACCACGCCCATCACTGCGTACCGGCCGCGGTCGGCGGACGGCGCGCGCCTGCAACTCATCCCTCGAAGAAACCTCCTGGGCATGGACTTGTAGTGCCCGAGTCTCGAGTCCTTGCGGCACCACCAGGAGAACCTTTTCAGGGCGGCACGGTCGGTCGTGTGTCCTCCCCCCTATGCCAGATCAATCCTATCAAATTTTGTGATATATCGTGTCAATAAATGTACTTGGTAATCATTCAATGTGGTCTCAGTTTCTCATCCCCAGATCTTTATCACCCAAAATTTGGAGTGTCTATCTCTGCCTCTGCCTCGACTCTAGGCAGGTTGACGAACACTGTGCATGTTGCCTGGAGCTGGTTACTTTTGACCCTCCCATTTCATCTCCTTGGAAGTTTTGGAAATGAAAACATCAACAACCATGGTTTAACAAAAATGTCAGACTTTTTAATTAGAATTGTACGGAGCATTGTTCACTTACAACAAAATGTATAAATTGGTACATTAGTTTAAACTCTGTACACAAGAATGACAAACAATAAGATCACAAAGTCTTGGTAAATTAAAATTGTAACTGAAAAATAGGAACATAAGCTTCTATTCAGTCATAAATTAAATGTAATAGAATTACTGCTCCTAACAAAATACAATCCAAAACAAAACAGAAACAAACAAAACTACTAAAGATCACAATATCCATGCTCTTGAAGCAATAACACTTCCAGTTACAATGGTTACATATATATCTGACCACCAACAGATTTGTTAGACAAAGTAAATTTGTGATGTGATACTTCTCCATAAAAATAACAAAAAAGTGGGAGGGACATAGAACTCCATTCACAACAAAAAAATTGGAGCCCTTGATTGCGAACTGAATGTTTTAGTACTCATCGCCTGAAACATGTCCAACATCAGCATTCCTCGCTAACATGTAATTATCCATATCGATGGATCGGCAATTGTTAATGGCATAACGTAGACGCTCTGCCATGACTTCTTGGCTCGTATATGGAGGTAGACGCAGTTGGAAGAAGCATGTTTGAGCAGTTGGGAGACCATCAGGGGCACGATCAACTCGCATAACCTGCAGTAAATTTTACATTTTAATACCTTAATACCTTCTTTGGGGTGATTTTTTTGAGCTACAACAGATTTGACATGAAAATCCTACCTGGAATTGTTGAGAGAGATCAGCAAGATTTGCTGGCAGTCTTGACCTGCCCGACACAAACCGCATGAACAAAACTCTTTCTTCATCTGAGAAGCTCTCCAAGATGCTCCAAAGCCATTGAACTAGAGTGTGGCTTTCATCTAATTCTCGATATCTGAGAAAAAAAACAACAAAAAAACACATAAAATTGTTTTGTATTTATTAGGCATTAGAGGAGTACATGCACAGTTACCGCAACATAAAAAAACACAACAAGCATAACAAACTAACTTACCTCACAACTTTTTTGAGAAGTGGTACAGGAATGTAGGGCATGCCACAAACCAGCTGCTCCAAATAATGAGATGTGACTAGTGACAGTAAAGGTACAGGTATAATCCAAGCCATGCCTTCACGCATAGCTTCAATCTAATAAACAAACAAACACAAACAATTGACATATTTTCAAGGTACAAAGCACTGATTACTCATTTACTGATTTGTCATGAATAATCAAAGATTAAATGTTCAATATGCATAAAGCACCTGTAAATCCATTTCGTGTAGTCTGAAGTTGATGGCTTGTTCCACATATTGCATACGATTATGGAAAGTCAGAGGAACACTCCTTCCGCCTGGAATTATTGGCATCATACGTCCTGTACATGAAGTTCCTTCGAAGCACTCCAATGGTATGACCTGCGGTATCAAGGATGAGATAAAATTTATTTTGGTAACACCAACTAATATCAAAATTATATACTAATTTGCAAGATTTATTATAATTTTAAGTTATCATTTTAACAAAAAACATAGTACTTTTAATAGATCAGAATTATAACTATAATTATTATAACTTTAATAATTATTATTATTATCACCATTATAATATTTCCTCACCTCATGGAAGTTTTGCTGATTAACATCATTGAAGTGTATGTCCCGAATACCCCTCAGGCACTGTGTATAGAGAATATCCGTTTCTTCTAAGTCATCTATGGACACAGGCTCCTGAACAAGTAGCTTCCACACCAGAGGAGCTAAAGGGATAGCTAATGGTTTCTTGGTTCGAACTGCAACTCCAAGCAAAATACCTGCACACAAAGAAAATTCCAAAATTATTATCTACATTATTTAAAAGGTACAGTATTCAATAAAATGAAGCAACTCACCAAGGAACTTGAATGCAGCACGGTGATTCATGGATGTCAATTGAGGATTCAATAGAAATTTATCTCTATTAAAGCCAACGTCATTTGTTGAATTTGGGGTTCGCACCAAAAGAGGCACACGTCCTGATGTTAGTTCAACACACATTTCTGTCACTGTGTCATCAAAAACTCCACCAGCATCATCTGCACCTTCTCCCACCAATGTCACCTAGAGAAGAGAAAAACACATAGCAGGTGCACATGTTATTCTTAAGAAAAATGTTGAAATGAGAAGTCTCAATTAAGCGAGCCTCTTTCAGTTTAGTTACCTTCCATGCTCTAGAAGGCAGTCTCAACTCTGCAGGACGCAGTTTGACAACCTGTTCGACCAACTGAGAAAAGATTGGAGTGGGGCGCCGAGTTCTCACAGCTAGCCTTCTCACTGTAACCTGTGGCCCGTAGTTTCTGCCTTGCACCATGGTCCGCCCAATGCATCGAACCAAAGGCAGCGTGTACACTCTTGGAGCAAGGAGAGGGCGCAGTTCGGGAGCACACAAGCACTGCAGGGGCGAGCCTTGCCACCATTTTACCTGAACATACCAAGGCATGGTGTAAACCTTGTGCAATAAAGACTTACAAAAAAAAAAAAAAAATGAAGGTAACAGTGAGAACATGGGGGGAAATGGTATACTCCACCTTTGAGCAGAGTGGTAACATACGCCAGCAGGCATAAAGAGTATCTGAGAATCTGTGAAGCACTCTTAATCTGGCACGGATGGCAGCAATTGGAAAGCTTTCCAGGTGGCCTAAGTGAGGCGGAATGGCAGATGGGGTACCCAGAGCTAAAGGACTAGCCAAACCAGGTGTTCGTCTTGGGAGTGGTGGTGAAGTCCAGGCAGCACTATGAGTTCGGCCAGTTGAAATCTGAAATTCATCCCAAAACAAATAAATTTTAAAGAAAACAATTGAAATTTCACTTCTTTATGAACTGATAAGGCAAGACAATATTGTTGAAAGGTACCTGTTTCGTGCGTTTCCCACAGAGAGCTGTAATAAGTTGTGGCTCCCTTGGTGGGCATGAGGTGTGGCCCATACCCAGTTGGCCGTCATTGTTGCTTCCCCAACCCCAAACATCACCAGAAGACGTAAGAGCAAGAGCATGCTCTGATCCAGCAGCTATCTCCTCCACAAAGACTTCATTCAATGCCGGAACCTGTTTAAAAAAACAGAAACAGTAACAATAATAAACAACACTGTATTAAAACTGTACCTACAACATAATAAGAAGAACAGTGACTTACCTCTTGAGGCTTAGCATGACACCGAGCTCTTGCTTCTGGTTGCCCAATGTGGTACTCTGCTCCACAAGTGAAAACACGGCCATCGAATGTAAGAAAGACAGTGAAATGACTGCCACAACATACTCGTTTGACACCAAGATTACACATTCTTTCCACCCGCTGAAATCATTTTTTTAAAACACAGTGTGAATTACTATTTAACAGAACAGATTTAACGACAAATGCACTGAAATCATGCTGAACCAGTGACTTACCACTGGAGTCTTCTTAGTACAGGTGGTACCAATCCCTAATTTTCCAAATTCTCCATCGCCAAATGCCCAAACTTCCATCCCATCCAATGACACACAAACTGTGTGGTTCAGACCACAGGCGACTTGACCAACAATAACTCCTTGAAGAGCTGCAACTCTTTCTGGTAGTTTTTTGTTGGCTGTTGTACCATGACCAAGTCTGCCATAGTCTCCATTGCCAAATGTAAATAGTTTACCATCAATTGTAACAACTGCACTGTGTTTATACCCACATGCAGCCTTCAAAAAAGAATAAAAATTAAAAGATAAAATAAACTTACAAGAGACAGAAGCAACATAAGATCCAACACAAAAATATTTTATATACTTTCAAAAATACAACAAATTTACACAAATGTCACTAAACAATCACCTGTACGACTTCTTCTCCTTGCAGAGCTTCGATTTGTCTTGGACGGCGTTGTCGATCACTGTTGCCGTGACCAAGTTTGCCATAGTCACCATCTCCCCAAGAAAATACTTCACCACTTTCAGCAATGGCCAGACTGTGCCCATCAGAGCCACATGATGTTGCCAAGCCAGTGATCACAAACCCTATGAAATTTCCAATAATAGATAAAGATGAAATGCAAATTGAACAGTAATGCAACACCCCAACAAACATAATTCCACAAAAAAGAACAGAAAAATTTTAAATGCTAACCTTGAAGAGAAGATATGACACTCAAGGTATGCAAATCATCAGAATTACCCTGGCCAAGTCGCCCATAGCTTCCTTCACCACATGCTAATACAGTTCCATTAGCCTGAATGACGAAAGTGCAATTTTGCCCACAGATAATCTGCTGAGCAGTAGAAAATGACTCTGTCAAAATTGGTGACATTGTATTACGCCCTGCAAAAATTTAAAAAGTGTTATTGAGCAAATTCAAGTTTATTAAAAAAAAAAAAAAAAAAAAACCTAAACAAGTCGGTTCTTACCAATATCCTGACTTGCGTCACCCAGCTGTCCCTGCCGCCCACTGCCCCACATGTACGCCTCACAGCGGCCGCCGACTTGCCAGTCCGTCGGCTGTTGGATGTACCAGCTCATCATCTGGCAGTCTGCCCTCAAACTCCATGCACTATTGGTGAGAGCACGTGATCCCTCTTCATCTGAAATAGAAATAACATGTCTAGCTCCAGAATTCGATAAGTAAATAAATCATAAGTAGTAAAAAATAATCAGATCATCATACCATCCAACATGTCTTTATTTGCAGCAATAAAACTTGGAGGCAGTGGTCCTCGGGTCACAAGTGATTCAGCAGTGCTAGACGCCATGCTGAAAACGTGAAGCCATTGCCAATCTGGAACTAAAATCAGAATAGGTACAGGCCTTTAGTGAAGCTTACTTAGGTAACAAAGAAACTGTTAAACACATGCAATAGATTTCTCACCAAGAGTCTCATGTTCTCCATTGTTAGGAGGAGCAGGTTTGTAGCAAAGCACCTTATCCAACTGTAGAACAAGAGCAAGCGCAATAAGGCACTTGAGGTGGTCACTGTGAAGCAACTGATCCCCACAGGCTACATAGGGTCTTTCGTAAAGATATTGCTGCGACAGGATGTGTGGCAGGTAGCGCAACAAGGCTCGAAGACAAGGAGCAGTATGAAGTCCTCCTAATCCACGCTTTAGAAGGGAGCTCCGTCCAGTAGCCAAGGCATGGTCAGAGAAACACTGTTCCATGGAGTACTGAAGGACAACAACATCCTGGAGGGGAAAAACAAAAAATATTAAACAAAAACAAAAACAAAACAACAAAAAGAAGAAAAAAAACACTTTAGTAACAAAACTGGTTTTGATAGACACATACTTTTGATCTCAGCAAACAGGCTGCCAAACCTGCATTGCCTGTCCAGCTCAAACTCTGAATACCACCTGCACCTGTATAAGTTTGAAGTAGGCTTCCATCTTGAAGAGACCATATGTTAACCACACCGGTTGGCCCTTTTCCACAACCTAGAGAAGAAAAGTAAATGAATCAATGCAATTTTTATTTTTATTTTTGTGAGGCAAACATTCAGACCATGTAATTAATTTAACATTCATACCAGAAGCCATAAGTAAACCATCCTTGTGAATTGCCAGAGCTGTGATTGGGCTGTACAAGTGGCCTTGAAGGCTGAAGAGAAGCTTCAAAGGTTTCTCTCGTCTGGGACCACTTTTCTCTTGAATGTCATGATTCTCATCAGTTTCTTCTCCATGAGAAGGATTTAGTACCCACACATTTATAATACCATAGGACATGCCAACACATAGGAGCAATGGATTTGAGCCTTTTCCTGAATAGAACAAACAGCAAGTCAATGTTTATGTACTTCAAAAATAAAAAATAAAAAATAAACAATGTAAGTGAAAGAAAATTTCTTACCGATGAATGGTGACCAGGAAATAGACACAGGTTGATTTGCTTGAGGAAGAGAATGAAGACAACACCAAGTTTTGTCTACTAGATGCCATACTCGACATGCACCATCAGTGCCACATGTGGCAAGCAGTCGGCCATCAGGAGACCATTTCATTCCAGAAAGTGCGCTCTGAATGGAAGAAAATTATATTGAATTTTACAGAACAGAAAAATACAAAAGAAGAAAAATAAACAAGTGCAACTGACCTGGTGTGCCATGACACTACTAGTTGGATGATTAGGCATATACCCTCCAAATTTAACAGTTCCATCACTAAAAGCTATGGCAAATTCTTTGTCTTCATTCTGCCAAGCAATGTGAGTGACATAAGCTGGATTGGAAAAGACAAAAAAAGAATGGATGATAGAATTTAAACAATGATTTAAATGAAATACAATAAGAAAACCTTGTGATAAGGCCTACCATAAGGAAGGGAGCAATTTGGAAGCTCTACACAGTCCTGCTTTTGAGAATCCAGCTCTACAAGAGCAACTGAACCATCAACACGACCAATGAGTAAACGTTCACACTTATTATCTGGAGACCCTAAGGCTGAATGTTCTTCAGGCCAAGAAAGTGCTGTTATCCATGCTGAGTGAGACAAAACAAGGAAATTTTCTGTCCATGGGGCCTCTTCATTGTCACCTGCAATTTTTTTTTTTAATGTAGTGTTTAAAATTTTTTAAACTCCTTTGTTTTGGTGAGCATGCCAAAAGTCTTACCCGGTAGAGGCGGAAGCGCCCATATATTGATGGTGTTGCCCATACAAGCTGCTAAAAACCTGCCAGTTGGAGACCAGCAGAGCTGTCCTATTTCTTCACCATGCAATTCACTTCCAAACACATTCTGAGTCTTTCTGTAAACCAAGGTGTGCTCGAGGGCACACAGAGGAGGTGCACTCCAAATCCTGATTGTTCCATCCCAGGCGCTAAAGAAAACAGCAAAATATAAAATAAAATTTAAATTTGAATTGAAAAATGCAGTCCAAAAGTAATTCCAAATGTGAAAAGGGGTTTCCCCCACCTTGTCGCTAATTGGGACCGGTTTTCATGCCACAAGACTTTATTGACCCTGTTGTCATGGCCTTGCAATTGAACAGCTGGGCACAAAGGCATCACTCCAGACAAGTCTGCAAAGTTAAGCGCTGTATCCAATGGATGCTGATGCCCACTTTTGGCAACAATACAAAGCACCTGTCAAAGAAGAAAATTGACAAGAGCAATTTAGTCACTGGTGCTCATGCTTGAAAAAGAATATAAACAGGTCCTAGCTTACGAGTTGTTGGCTGGCCCATTGACGAGTTGGTGGCGGCAAACGAGTTGACAAAATACACGCAGCTAGAGCGTTAGGAAGCATGAGATGGTTGCTGCTGTTGGGGCTCTCAGGTGAAAACGGAGATTTTTCATCTAGATGAAAAACAAAGAGAGAGGGAGAAAATAGAAAACTACAGAGTGAAATCCTGCAGAAAGAATTGAGGTACTGTGTATGTTTAAAAAATATGTGTTACCTTTAATTTCTGAATTTAGGGCGGTACCACCATGAGATGCAAGAAGTGCCACGAGATATAGAGTAACTGCAGATCCTGATGAAAGTTTTGTGGCACCAGTTGCCACTTGCAATAAATCCTACATGTGAGATAATACATAAATGAAGTTTATTTTTCAGATCAAATTGACATTTACCTCTCAAATATTTTTTTTAAAAAAGCAGTTAAGACTGTCAGAGAGTTCTTTAATTAATCACCTTTGTGCACATTTGCAAAACTAAATTGGATGCAGCTTTGTCAGCACGTGCAAGGGCAGCTATAGCACTTCGAAGATGAGAGAGGACACTGTAATTTCCTTCAAAGATTGGATCATAGCCAGATGAAGCTGCAAGTTGGAGAAGGTTTGGGGTGGAAAGACCACCAAATGAAGGTGCTAGCCAGTTTTCAGTTGGTTCAACATCAGATGCACCTGCGTCTCCTGGTGGTGCTGCTGTAGAGTCACAAGTGTCTTGCAACTCAACGCGACCAGCAGCTGTCAAACCCATGAGAGCAACGGCTTTGCGAACATCAGATAATCCCATGGCAGAGAGACTTGCACACAAGTCACAACTTGTTTTGCTAAATCAAAAATAAACATAAATAGTTGCTTAATTTCTCAAAATGAAAATAATACAAAAAACCTCTAAACAAAAAAGAAACACTAAAAATACATACCTTACAGCAAGGAATGACAATGTGTTAATCACAATATGCCTTGCAATAAAAATTTGAGCGGCACCTGCAGATCTTCTTAGTGCTGTGATTCTATCAAATACAGATGTAAGGTCTGCAGCCTGGTCTGCTAATGGTTTATGTTTCACTTCAGACTTCCCAGGGTTGGCCTTTGCGTTCCCTGTAAAAATTAAATTGATCAAAAAGTTAAAGTATGATGAAATAACAAGAACAGAATGAATAAAGAAAAAAAACAAAAACAGAACACTTCAAAAGATACCTTGAGCAACCACCATGGGAACGCAACTAGAGCCCAGAGGGTCTGATTCTCTCCAAGCAACTGGTTCTGGAATAGGTCTTTCTTCTGCAAGGCCTAAAAGACGAAGTAGTTGATCAAAATCTTGGCCCGCTGATGGACTATCAGTATCAGCATCCGCCCAGAAAAGGTCAGTCTCTAAAAGGGGGTAAAACATACAGTTTATACATTTTAATGAACAGCCGATAGACTGCATGCATGATTCAGAGAATACTAAATAGTTATGCCCCTGCCTTGGCTTTGTTGAGGGTTTGCTGGTGCTCCTACAAGATCTGGAGCCAAAACTTGAGCCACTCCACTCACAGTTATTGTGTTGGGCAGGATCAGATTTGAGTCACGAGATGTTTGATGTTGCCAAATAAACTTGCACTCGTTGCACAACAAATAAGTAGACCCTGGAATGCAAAATAAAGACAACTTTTGTCATTAAACGCCGTCAGTTGAACTGAATTCTCTCTGGAAAATAAATGACAGGGTTCAATAACCTGTTATGCTGCCACAATAAGTGGATCCCCAGACGCGTCCACAACCAGGATGAGAAGATAGCATGTGGCCGGCCAAATGGGTGGAGGTCTGACCACACAAAGCACACACAGATTTTGGTGGCATCTGGAATGTCAAAGCAAAAAAGGAAATACAGTAGTTTGTAGTCAGGAGTTGTCAGTGCTGTAGGTAAAATGATGGAGCTAGTACTTACAGGCCCAGAAGTACTGCTCCCAACATCAGAATTTCCTTGAGCTTGCGCTGCAGCAAGAAGAGGCTGGGCCTCGTTTCGAACATGTTGCCTTTCTCTCTCTCGCTCTTGCTCCCGACGCTCTCGATCTTGTGCAGCTAATCAAAAGGAAAACAAAATCAAAATCAAGATATTAAATAAATGTTACAACCATTTTCTTAGTTATAGTACCTCGATCTGTCAGGTAACTCCGAATGTCGGATGGAAATCTCCTACATATTGCTCCACTTCGGCGAAGGCCCAGAGGAACCTCGCTCTCTCCAGTTCCAGACGATTCCTAAATTAAAGTGAAATACCAGCAAGAAATTAAAACTCTGACATAAGGAAAGTAACAGTTAATCAAGCCCATCAATGTGGACAAAGGTAAAATAGTTTCAATTAATTTGTCTGCACAAACCAGTCTGTTTAATGAGGATTGAAGCTGGTATCGCTTGGGCACTACTTTTCCCCCAGCTACTGGTGCACTAGACGGCAATGCCAGATGAGGTGGTTCTGTGGTAGATGCTGGGGATGTTTGACCAGCAATGGCAGAGACCCATGGACCAGATGCTTCGGCTTCTGTGCCACTAGCTGCCTCATCACCTTCACCTTCAGTTCCCGGAGAATCTACACAGGGGTGTTCTATCATCCAAGTAGCTAATTGATTCAGAGTTAATGCTGCCATATCCCCACCACTCCCTAGACAGAAAATCACAGCTCATTTAATATATCTTTTCTCAATCCAAGCATATTATAACAGAGAAAACAGGAAAAATTAAGTTTCTCAAATTACCAGTAGATTGAATAGCCTTCTGAACGTGCTTTAGACTGAAGCCCATCTCAAGAAGAGGTGCTACAATAGGAGGAGGAGGTGTGTTATCGATTGATGTTGCTGCGTCTGGAGGGGGAGTTCTTGAGCTTGAAGATGATGAACTACCACCCAAAGTTGTCACAGAACGACCAGATAGTTTGGAGTCTCTTTCAGCGTTTGCTTGTCTGAATGAGGCCAAGCGAAACACAAGCTTGTTGTGGCGAGCAAACACAGAAGATCCAGGACGTGCTGGAACTGAGGAGTTCAGCAGCGAGGGCAGTAACAGGGAAGATGGTGGGGAGAGTGGGGAAGAAGGAGAGTGGTTAGCCAGGGGGCCAGTTGCTAATGAACCTAAGGCACCGGGGGGCTCATAAGTCGAATTGTGCGTCGCTCTTTGCGACCTTAACAGGCAATCCTGAAAGAATTACATGTTTTTATTTTCAATTTGAAATAACATTTGCAGATAATTATGGTGTCGGTCTTGAGCCACATGAGGGCACTTACATCCAAAGAAGAATCACTGGAACAGTGCATTGCGTGGTTAGTGTCTCTTGAGCTCACAACTGACCGAATTTTAGTTTCCACATCTGTGATGGCAAAAGTCTCATTTGCACATGATTTCATGTGGGCTTGATGAAAAATGGCCTGAATGCGTTCCAAATCTCGAACGCACGCAAGCTGACGAAAATGGCAAACTTCCACACTTTTATTAACCAATCCACTAAGAGAGGAAGAAAATTACAAGTATTATTGCAATGATATTGCAGTCAGAGTAAAACCATACCATAAAACACATAGAGGATACTTACTTCAATATGTGCCTGAGAGCCTCTTTCAGTTCAAACTCAGCCAACAATAGACCCTCTTTTTTGGAGCATTCATCATTATCTGACAACTTCTCCTAAAATCCCAGGGCAGATTCCGAATATAAGAACATGCAGCGCTAAATTTATTTTTATGTCATAAAGGAATTACAAAGACAAACGTACCTCAGCTGCGAATGAAGGGGTTGACGGTACCAAAAGCATTTCTAGATACTGACTATTATTTAGAAATGAACATAAAGATTTCAATGCAGCCAACTGCAGGAAGGCTACTTGTAATGACACTGCTTCACAGTCCAGGAACTTTTGATCACCCACTCTGAAAATTAGAAGCTTACATAAGTATGCATATATTTTTTTTTGTTTCATGTTCAAGAATAGTGTTGGCCTCACTTTGTAACAGAAGATAAAGTGGAAGCTGAGGACTCTTGTAAATTTTGTTGATTGGAAGTAACTCCTTCCAACAACTCTGCTGAATTTCTTCTCGTCACTTCACCAATAATGTTGAAAACCATCTGGTTTGTCAGGGTTTCAACAGAACGAGCTGTTGGCTTTAGGGGTTGAGCAGCTGGTGGGGCTTGGGCATCGGATATGTTAACATCAGATTCAGAATTATCAATTTTAATAACCCCTCCAGAGTTTTTAATGTCATCTAATTTGGTCTTGCAGTCTGGAAATACAAGCTTCAACACAAAAGATATGAGTAAGCAGGAAAATACACCTTTATTCTGTGAAATAGAGATTTAAGCTTTTACCTCTCCTGTGAGTCCACTTAGTCTTGAAATTTGAATCAAGGTTTCCCCAGACACAACTGGCAGCTTGTTCACATTGAAAGGAGCGGGTTCCAGGGGCTGTAATCCACTAATCTGTGCATCCCTGGGAATAACACAAATACCATTGAATGAATGACAATTCAGAGGTGCATGTAAACTTGAAGTATTTACGGGTATTCCATGCCTACCCGATACACCCATCGTCCCACTGCACTTTCACTGATGCCAGGCCTGGCTTCAGAGTGCCCAGGACAATGCAATTACGGGCGAACGGTCGGTAAACGCAGCGGCCACCAACGCGAACACCGCGATCGACTCCCGCAATAACTGCAAGCGCTGGCCACACCTAGAAAGAAAGTCCAAGTTCAACGAAATGAGCCTTGATAGAACAATGCAAACAACGAATAAAAGGGGTGATGGCCTGGAAAATTACCTCCTTGCAGAGTTGTTGTAACTTCACTCCCGAACACTTTTCAGTAGTATCAGGAGGGCCTTCATTTTCCTTTGTGTCCATTTGCTCCTCTTTATCAACTAAAATTTTAAGATGAAAGAAACAAACTATTAGAACACAACTTCTGAGAAACAAGAAATATTCAGAACTTCAAAGGAAGTATAGCCTTACCTGGTGAGTGCGCCCGGATGTTAGTTTTGGTGGGTTTCTCTTGAGACACAACTGGGAAAAGTTCTTTTATTTGATTCAATCGTTCTATTATACACTCATTTATCTGAAAAAAGAGAGGAGGGGGGGTCAGTAATAAAAGTTCTTGTTATACGTATATAATAAAAGATGAGTAACATCTAACACAGTGCAAACTGCATTTGATGTCCTTTGACGTCCAAGCTAGACAAAAGAAAATGGCTCTAACCTGATCACACCACACATCAGTGGAGTGCAATTGCCGCAAAAGCTGCACATAAGCCTCGGCCATAACTACAGACTGAGGGGCACATTGGGGATCGCCAGGATGCAGGTCTCTAGGCGAGCGGCAAACCTGCATATCAGTTATTGCCACCTTTTCTCCAGGATTGGTGCTATAAAATAAAACACAAGGGAAAAGTTCTGTGGCCTCCACATCTTCAAAAGCTGACACAGGATCTTCGCCATTTTTCCCAAAACTAATTGTCCTTGCATCCATGTCCAACACCACTGTGATGCAGTCTCCTTGCGTGTAGCCAGGTAATGTGAGTGGCAGCTCACCATTGTGATACAGGTTTCCACTGCAATTAATTAATTAATTAATTGATTAATTATGATGGTTCATGACATGGTGAACTGTTATAAAATTATCATTTCTATTGTGAGTAAGAAACATTGAAAAGATACACTATGCTATACCTGTAAGCTCGGTACAACCACATATCACAAGTTGTCCTGTGGTTATTGTCTTTTATCGGCATTCTTGCTACACCTATACAAGTTCCTTCATTTCCCTTATTTTCCCTCAATATTTGAAACTTCCACTGATAGCATCCTAAAGCAGAAAGTTTGTAAGTTTTGCAATCCACAATATTCATTAACAGCTACAAAAGTGAAGAAAACCTATCAAGCTGTACCTGAAGTGATGGCAGTGTTTCCTAAGCCATAGCCTCGACCACCAGCACCATGCACAAGAACTGTGTGAGAGTCTACAAAACAGTAAAGGGTCTTGTCTGCATCAAAACCTGCGTCTAAAACGGGGATATTTCCTTCAGATTGAAAGACATCTTCCTCAGAGTCATCTTGAGTAGAAAATGAAAGGACAAATTACAGATATAAGTCACACACACAGCCACATGTATTCATGAACATTGAGTCAAAAGGAATGTTGCAAGTACCTGGTTCGCTTAATTTTTTCAGTTGTTTCATAAGTTCTTTGTGTTTCATTGCAGCATTCCTTTCTGCAACGGCTTGAGGTACATTCCACATGTTTGCTGCCAACTGACGAAATAGTTCCTGGATTACTTGTTCTCTGTGCTGATTGGTCTGCTCATCTATAGCATCATTACGATCAGAAAATTTGACACTTGGCAGTATTGTGCCAAGCAATTGCAGAGCCAGCAGCTTGGGGCGTAGTGACTGAATACGAGGCTGAGCTAAACTCATCTTGAGAGAGCTGATCACAGATCCTTCATTCTTAATTTCATCTTGACTTAAAATGAGCAGAAGAAGATTGGTCCACTTGAAGCTGGCAAGTAAGGCACTCATCCTTTTGCTACATGCAACACGTCTTATAAAGAGGAGACGGTTTCCAAGAGTTTGTTCACAGGCTGTCAGTTCCGAGGTGGATAGGTTAGTCATTTCATTGGGAAGAGTAGATTGAACAGACTGCTCCAGCTGCAGGTATATTAGGTCAACAACTTTTGCCACGATGTCCTGGTCCAATTTACCTGCATACATCCTAAAAATAGGAAACAATAATTCATTTTTGGAAACAATAAATAAAAAATTTGTAAATTGATACATAATTTTTTAAAATAAAAAAAATATTTATTCACAATACTTACGTGCATGACATGGCAAGAATATGAAGCAACTGAGTACTGGCATGTGCTAAAGTAATGTTTGGACGATCCCAGGTTAACAAATTGCTTGCAGCCACAGTGTTACTGCAAACTTCTGCCAAGACTTGTAGAAGACCAGATCGAACAGCATGTGTGAGGTCTTTAGGTTCATATCGCATGCTTAATGAAAATACTAACAGAGACTGGTAACATTGCTCTGCATTGCCCGAAACTTTGTCAGATGAATTGTGAGTAGAAATTAAATGCACAAGGAGGGATATCAGGCGATGCATGGCCGCACTTAGCTGATCTTGCACGTCTTTAGGTGTAGCTTGTACACCACCGAGATAATGATACAGTAGAGGACTGTCAGATTTACATCCTAATCTTCCCACTAGGTTAAATAAACCACACAAAATCTGTTCTTGCACCTAAAAATAAAAAAACAAACTAATAACTTGACATCATACTAATTCCAAAAGAAGAATGCCTAAGATAAATTAGGGACATCTAATACCTTGTGTATGAGGGGTGCAGGATTATCAGCTTTGGAACTTTCTTCTGTAGAGAGAAGGATTAAGAACTGCCTTAATGCATCAAGTCGCACCTGGAAACAAGCAACAACATCAAATGATTTCCTTTCAACTTAACTCATACAAAAAATGTTCCCTATGATTGCTTACCTCTGCTCGAGCTTCTTGTGCTATTACTGCCTCACCTATCAAGCGAGGGTTAGTCACCCAGCCTTTGTCTTGTTTTATAATAAAAGACTGAGATTCTGAATCACAATTATCAGGTTTACCGCAAACAAAATTCGTGAGGGTTTCAACTACATCATGAAGCTTTATCAATTGATGAGTATCTCTAAAATCAAACATGATTTACATGTCTCAATTTAAAAAAAATACAAAAAAATGACGATGAGAAATCAAAGAGAGGTCATACCTTGGAGAAATTTCAATATTTGAGCAAAGATCTACGTCGTCTTCATCTTTATCTACTTCCATCCAATTTTTTGGTGGACTATTAACACAACCAATGAGAAATGCACAACGCTCAAGGACATTCTTACAAACATACTCAAAGCTCTTCTGCCTTTTGGCTTCATCCGCCTCTCCTTCACTTTGAGTTTCATCCAGATCTTTCCAGAAAAAAAGACATAGCTAGATAAGATATATATGTAAGATAATCACAAAAGTAAGACACACAGAAAACCTTACCACTCTCTTCAGTATGCATGTCTTCATCCCTTGAGCATCCCTCAATCGCTTCCCGACATCTGCTACTTCTTGATCCACAGCCATGGTCTGAATCACTTTCATGGGAGGCCTCCCCACTTTCCGCTCTCCTCTTTTCTTTTTTCAATTCCTTCTTCTTTCTTTCACTGGCCGCCCGATTAATACTACTGAGACGTTTTAAATCAACCTCCTTGAGAGTGGGAGCTGAAAGAAGATGTCTACGCAGTTTGATCACAGCTGAATATATTTCTTCAAAATAGAGATTGGAACTGAAAACATGAAAAATATTTAAATGATTGTGCATTGCATAAGACACACTTTATTTAACTCCAAAATAGTCCTGAATAAGCTTTAACTAACCAAGTTAAACTCTGTGACATGCTACAATGCTTGAGGAGGGCAGCTAAGTAAAACTTGCAAAGGACATCCACTGTTGGATGAGAGGGACTGACATCCCAGTCATTTTCAATGGCAAACTTAAATACAGCTTCAAGGTCAGCATTTAAAACTGAAGATTGAATGCGTGAATATGTATCTTTTAAATCAGGGACATTCTCTTTACACACTGAAACAACAAGAAAATTTAGTTGACTTCTGCTAAGATAAAATCTTAAATAAATTAAGAAATGAATAAAATGTCTTACGGTTTTCTTTATTGGAATCTTGAATCCAAAAGGACACAATGCGACCTATGAAGTAACACAAAAATGTTATTGCATTATTTTCTTAATTTAAAAAGAAGCCTGGAGCCTTGAACATTACTTACCAACATCACTCAAACTGTAGTTTCTTTCCAGACCGTGGGAGAATAGAGGTGTTTGAAGCCAGTACACAACACTTTTTTCTGCTGGAGTGAATGAAGCACCCAACAACATACCTCCTAACACACGACCAACAAGCAGCCCACAACACCGCTCAAGGTCCATCAGCCATAACCAAGACTGCTCTGCTAAATCATTTGGTGTTGGTGTGTCAGCCTCTGTCCCAAATTAAATAATGTTAAGAGTCAAACTTGTTCACAGTTTAGATATATGTAATATATGGAGTATGCCTATGAAAATACCTGTATCGTCATCTGGAAGAGGGGGAAGTAATCTATTCAGCTTGTCTATTGGTGCCAACAAAGACAAAAGTTCAGGGAGAAGTGGTTCAACTTGAGACACAGGGAGCAACAACAGAGCATGAAGAAAAGTGAAGAGTAAGGATCCTGCTATTGAATCCATCAAAATACCTGAAAAAAAAAAATAGTTAAGCTTTTACATTTTATATTATTTTTTAAAATTCACATTTTAACAAAAAAAATAAACAAAAATAATAGTACCATATAGATAAGAGAGTGATTCTGGGAAGTTCTGAACAAGCCTTGCACTGAGAGCAAATATACCAGAGGCCATAGGTATTAGTTTTTCAGCATGTCTCAAAAGAAGATCAATACTAGGACAACTCTGAAAAGAAGAAAAAATGTTAAGAGAAAGTAAAGCGCAAAACAGCCAGCAGATAACAGAGACAGGTGCAAATACTCACTGTCATATAGAGTGAGGAATTCATATAGTGTGTCGTATACGCTAACAAATGAGTATGGAGAGCTGACAGCAAACCATGCAGAGATGGCACAGATGGCGGTGGTTCCCATGGATTGTTCAAATTATTTTTCAAATGACACTCTAATGACTCAATTGCTGCAATCTGGATAAATACAGTTGATTGTTATCATTATTGCAATATTATTGCAGTAAAAGCTACATAATAATTATCATCAGTTTTAAAATCCCAACCAAATTAAAAAAAAAAAAAAAAAAAAAAAAAAAACTTACTGAGTTAACACTGAGATTATGTAACAAAGTTTTCATGAGAGTGTAAGCATGAGTGAGGTCATGCGGGGATTGTGGACTTGAGTTCACATCTGCCAAGATGCTACGGTCAATAGAGCTCTCAGAACTGTCATCAGATGTTTCTGTTACTGTAATACCATAGCCTAATAGCCATGCTATGTGAGTATGTTCCACTAGGCTCTTAACAATAATATCCAAGAGCATTTTCTGAAACAAACATTAGCGTTCATAAGTATAATTTATAACAAAATAAAATATTAACGATTACATGTCGATTCTTGACTTCATTTACTCACTTGGCCTTTGGTGAGATTAGATATTTGAGGCAGAAGACTCTGTAGCAAGCTTAGCCTGGCCCACAAAGGAGGCAAAAGCATATGAGCACCAATTTGTAGAGTATCATTAACAATAGCTTCCACTCGTTGGGGTGTGGTGTAATCAACAAGGCTATAACAAGATTAAAGAAGCATCCTTGAGAAAATATAACCAGTATTATTTACAAAAAATATTACAATTCCTTACCTGAATAAAAGGTGTCGAAGTGGTGCAGCTTGATTGCCAAGGAAACTCGAAGTCACTCCACCACTCATGGCCAGAGAGAAATGAGAGCACAACAGTTTTAAACATAGGTATACAAAATCGTGATGGTCCCTGAATGACAAAAACAATACAGCAAACTTCAGTTGCAAATCTGTTATGTTGGGTGTTTTTAACTGAAATGTTCTTTGGTCTTACTGTGATGAGGGAAATGGAGGAGGAGGACATTCTTCATAAAAATCCTTCCCAAACTTTTCCAGGAAGTTCCTAAGTGTGGAGAATGTGTTTTCTTCAAGGTCAGCACAAAATGGGCGATGCCAAGGGAGGATAGGCCTGAGATAAAACAAACAAAATGCTTCAATGTTTGAGGAAGACTCCCAACCTACAGTTTGTTTGAATGTCCTATTTAATACCTGTCAGTAGGCAAAGCTGTCCACACAATGCTGTGCGATGTACCAGCAGACATCTGGCGGACAGGTACCCCATCTAACCCAACAACTCGCCGAGGTCTGGATATTGGAGTTGTTGAGTGACCTTGACCACATTGGCCCATGGAATTGTTTCCCCAAGCATATACCTGAATCACAAGAAAGAAAGTCTTAAGGCGATATAAATCTTCTTGATGCCACAATTCTTAACTAATCATAGTTGACTGACCTGGCAGTCATCTGTAAGAGCAAGGCAATGTGAATCTCCAGCTGCAATATCCAAAACATGATTTCCTGATAAATCATCCACTTTATGTGGGACCAATGTCATCATGTCTGCGGTACCACAGCCCACACAGGAACCACTACCCCAAGTTAGCACCTGGAAACCATCAGACCAAGTGAAATAAATTATTTGTTACTTTGCAAAAAATTCATCTTTTACTCAAATCTGAAACAGTGTAAATTAAATGTTACCTGTCCACTTGATGTAAGAGCGACTGAAAACTGGGCCCCTGCAGCAATTTTGGTGACACAAACTCCTTGAAGTGCCTCAATAATTTTAGGACGACAAACACGAGCATTATCTCCATGCCCAAGCTTTCCATTTTCACCAGAGCCAAATGACCACACAGTACGGCCATCTTGGGACAGAGCTAGAGTGTGAGCGCTTCCACAAGCCACCTGCCCAACACCAGATATATCTCGGACCAATGTTGGGACGTTCCGTCCATTGTTGTCTCCATGTCCTACGACAATAGAGAATAATAAAAAGTGTTATCACGTCACATTTCTAAAAACTGGACAAAAAATGTTGATCATATTATCACCTACCAAGCCTTCCATAGTCGCCCTCTCCCCAAGTGTAAAGTTCACCATCTTCAGTTACTGCTGCACTATGGCGATACCCAGCATGTATGTGTGTCACTCTTTTTCCCAAGAGAACTCCAGTAATCAGCTTTGGTTGCTTTTGTGTAGTACAGTTTCCATGACCTAGTTTTCCATAGTCACCTGAAAAAAAAATTTGATGCTATGACTAAATTGAAAATATTTAATAAAGTTTGTTAAAATTTTAAACAAGAAGACCATACCATCACCCCAACTGTACACTTGCCCTTCATCAGTAAGGCAAAGGGAGTGACCATCACTACCCTTTGATGAGGAGAGGCGCACAACAGTGGCAGGCATACTGACTCGTCTAGGAACCTGTTGATTGTTGGAGTCGCCAAGACCAAGGCGACCATAGCTCCCTTTTCCACAAGCAGATACAGTTCCATTGGTGTGAATAACAAATGTGCAATACTGCCCAGCCTCAACCTTAAAACAAAAATAGTTGGAGAGAAAAAGCAAAGGAAAAGAACCAGATTCCAGAGCAAAAAGAAGGATTTACTCAATTTTACCTGCTGCACATTGGAAAACATTTTGGCAAGTTTGGGAAGAAGAATCTTTTCTTGATTTCCTTCTGCTAGTTGGTGTGATGAGTTACTGCCCCACAAATAGACCTCACAGATTTTTTCTGATACTGAACTGCCTGAAGTACCACTATCAATGGACTTCTCCCCAGCACTCACCCAAGAGTCTGTCAGATGACTCGATAGATACACAAGCTGGAAATCATAAAATTGGATAGAAGATACGTTTGATACATTTGTGTAGAAAGTATGACTAATGTAAGTTTACCTCTTGCATTATTAACATTGCTGCTTTGTGCAGTCTGATTCGTGAGCCATCATCAGCCAAACACAAAGGCACATGTCTGCAAGCTCTTCCATCACCACTTACAGCAGCAGACCTCATATTTGATATTGCTTCATTGACCATGCTTTCTGAAATACAGATGTAGTCACATTCCTTCAGATCTTTGTTTTGCACCTCTTCAGATGCTGCAGTCAGGACAAGATCCACCCACTCCAGCAGATGCCGGGATGAACCCCTTTGGCAAGCTAGCTGTAGCATCAATTCACAAGCTAAGCGCCTTCCTACAACATAAACAAGACATTGTTCAGGGTTAGTGTTACACATAAAATGCTGACTGGTTAAGAGGCACAAGATGCAGCTCGTACCAACTGGATCTGCTCCAGATTGTGGTAAAACAGTCCGGCGAAGGAATGATGTCACTTCTGATAAGCATGTGGATCCTAGAGCTGTGATGTGGCTTTCATTGGCAAGAGAGAGCAGAGGAAGACTCCTAACAACTTCAGATGCTGTTTGAAGTACCTGATGACTCAGATTTGGGCATTCTGCAAAGGAACCACAGTTAGGTTGGTGGGCATAAATAAAAAAATTGAAAAATTCTGGACCTATAATAATTATACAAACCTGGAGGGATGCTAAACTGCCAGCTTTGCTGAATTAATGAAAACATCAGAGTCAGCCCAGTTCGAACACCCATTTCCAGTAGTGCATTGGGAGCTGAGCTAGCCCTTTCCAATTGAACAACGGTGCAGTCTCGACAACGATCCTCCTCAGGTATAACTGACAAAGACCTGACCTAGGGGGGAAAAAACGAAGATGGAGTGAACTACAGTACAGTATAAGTATTGTGAATTGAAAAGTTTAAATTTAACTAACTTTGTCTTTATTGTGATACTTGTAGCGAAACCCATAGTAAATTCTTTCTAAAATTAGCAGTCTTTGAAAGAGAACGGTGGCAAATGGTGTTTCTGAGAACACAGTCCTGGCCAAGTCCAACTGAGCTGACAGAAGATCTGAAATCTGTGGAAGAAATTTTTCTTAAAGGGATGTGTGTTGTAAAATGAGTAAAACCTGGTAAAACCTCAACATGTTGGCTAATTTACCTGTTGATCTAGTTCAGAAAATTGAGGGGACTGGCTTTCAAAATCCGGAAGAAGTGGAACAGAGTTCTGAAAATCTGGTACAGATGGAGCAGTGACATTGGCCACCTCTTTGTTTGATGAGAGGCGCTCAAAGAGTGTTTGCACGCCATCTCTTGTAGTTATTAAATCTTCACGGCAGTTGTCTGAGGACCACACAGTGTTCAAATGGTCTTGCCATTTCACTTTAATGTTTTTCCCAACTTCTATATTGCTTGACTCCATGTCAATCGTGCAGTTTACACAGTTTAATCTTCTAAAGAGCCATTCACTGTCAACCTCTTCATGTACCCTTAACCTAATTCTTTGACAACTTGTATGTCATATTTGATGCATTTAAGCTTCCATTCATGTAATTTGGAAGGTCATCACCTGCAAAATATCACAGACAAACAAGTTAGACGATTGACCACAAACGGCAAAAATCGAGAAATCACAGAAACGATAAAGATGGTACACTTTCACACAGAACCAACAGAATGTTTTTATATGCAGAAGGTGCAACTCGTGGTGACTTTATACATCAATTATTGCCTTTTTTAAAAATTGGAGCATATAAATAAGTTTGCCTTACCTTTACGGACCCCAAACAACAGCCCATTAAACGTTAACAAATGTGAAAGTCCATTTAAAAACCTTTAAAGAGCTATGTTTTGAGCAGCAGCAGACGAGTTCCTTCCGCTGACACCTCCAACAAAAACATCAACAACAAAAGCAGCTGTTTTTGTTGTCTGTACAACGCAGAGACGCAGAAACAGGGGACTTTGCCGAAAATCGCCACTTATCTCTTTATAGTTCACTGCAGCGACATGCCAAGCGCTAAGTAAATATCCTTCGGTATCTGATTCGCCAGTTGTCATTGTGTACTTCCCTCTGCATTCTTCTTTACCTGTCGGTGTCGGTGTTTCACACAGGTCAGGTTAGAGTGTGATAATCATTTTTGTCTTGAAAGACTCATTGCATCATCTGTTTTTCTCTCACGAAGTATTCTGAACCCATTTGATATTTTATTTGCTTATTACTACCTGTGCATTTCCCTATTCAAAGTTGTAATAATTCTTAACCTTATCTCTTCACTATCAAAAGTTGTCTACTCATGCCTAATAACATGCCCCAATGACTTGTACCTGAATTCACTCACACTTACCTTTTCCAGCTCTGCCATGGGCAACAGTAATAGCCTTTTCGGAAACCACGTTGCTGGAGATATCAACCCTGGAGCTAAACCAACGAAGGTATCTGTCTAACTTGCAGTCGGTGACACATTTATGTTGTTGTTTTCTTTAAGAATTGAAGGCTTGAGTATCTTTTCTTTTGCAGTTGGAATTTGCAGTGAAAATGTCCTGTAATGCTTGTGTAGAGCAGATAAGATCAAAACTCGATGGAGTGTCAGGCATCGACAACTTCAATATTGACTTCACAATGGGTACTGTAGTTGTGGAGACTAGTTTGCCGTCATATGTAATACAGCACCGTATTCAAAGCACAGGAAAAGATGTAATACTTCGCGGGATTGGTGGGAAAGGTAGGTGCTCTTTTGAGTCCTAGTGCTTGTGTAACTAATGTTTTGATTTACTTAAACTCTTAATTTTTACAGAGCACAAGAACCTGGGGTCTGCTGTTGCTATGCTTGGCGGAGATAGCGGATTTAGTGCGACAGGTGTGCATGGAGTTGTTCGAATGACACAGTTTGATGAAGCCAATTGCATAATAGACGGAACAATAGATGGGTTGAGCCCGGGAAAACATGGCCTGCATATTCACGAATGTGGGGATATCTCAAAAGGGTGTGACAGGTGTGTGACTCTTACCAATGGTCTATCGTTTATTTTTCCTATGCCTAAGCCTGCCTGTAAACTTACTGTTGTTTCTCTGTTGCGTTTTCTTGGCAGTGTTGGAGGCCATTACAATCCCAACAATGTAAATCATGGCAGCCCCGAAATGGATGAAATGAACAGAGTGAGTGTCTAAAACTTATTACTTGCCTGGTGCCAGATTCGATTCTCAGACGTTCCTCTTATTTTTGTCGTACATTGCTGTTTTTGTTTCCAGCATGTTGGTGATCTTGGAAATGTACTTGCAGACACTGATGGAAGAGCTGTTTTTCGTATTGTAGATCGTCTTGTTAAAGTTTGGGACATTATTGGTCGATCCATTGTTATCACTGAATCTGAAGATGATTTGGGTACTGGCGAGAAAGAAATTTCTAAAGTAGATGGAAATTCAGGGCACAGGTTAGCATGTGGAATCATTGCTAGATCAGCAGGCCTTTTTGAAAACAGTAAAAAAATATGTGCTTGTGATGGTCTTACTCTGTGGGATGAAAAGAACAAACCGTTGGCTGGCAGTTCACGGCAGCAGAAGCAGGAACAAGAAGAGGGACTGCAGCCCTCTTCCAGTTTATAATGCTAATTAACAATGCCAGTTCTCTGCTACAAAATCCATTCCACCTGCTAGTTGATTGCCCTCATCTCTTGCTTAACCTTTGTGTATATGTTGTTCGAGATTGGAGTGTACCCAGAACCAAATAAGTACATAAAGCAGTAGTATATGGATAAACAAAATAATTGTAGAAACTTATGCTACCTGAAATGTTGAATCGATTTCGGAAGTTTTGAGCCTGATGTAAATTGTTGTGGTATATTGTGATAAATGAGCACCTCATAGGGTCTCCGTTCCGTATGTCTTTAGTTGCTTTCGATACATTTGCTGCAGGTAAACACCAATATTTCCTCCTTAATTAAGTTTTTGATCAAACTCTGTGATGATGATTATTGTTTAATATGTTTGCTATGCTGTACCTAATAAAGTAATTTTTTAATGTTCAATGTGGTTAAATGACAGGCCTGTCATTCAGGCGCAGAGCATCGCTTACACTTCCTTATTATTATTTTTATTGTTGCCTGTTCTGTGAACATATTCCATCGTCCCCGTCCCTCATCAATCCGCAAGTCGCGAGTTAAGTTGCGCCATCGTTTCACGGTTGATTGAAACTGGCGCCAAGAGCCGCCTTATTCACACGACAGACGGTGCCCAATCAGACGCAGCCAAAGCCCCGAAGCCAAGTCCCACTCCCACTCCCCACTATGTTTATTGTGGAAATTGGTGTGGAACTATCTACTATGTGGAATTTATAAGTCCTATCCACTCGTAAGTTGAAAATGTGTTTCTGTTTTGCTTACATTTGCTCTTTTCTGGGTTCTAATGGCGTGGGAATGCCAATCTTCAGCTGGTTGGAAATGTAGGGTACGTCGGTCCTTAACTAGGTCCGGTTGTTTGTTTAATTTGTCCGTAGGTTATTCCCTCTTTCAGATTATTCTATATCTTTTTAACTTTCCTATCAATGCTGAAGAGCATCTAGCTTTTTTATGGATGAAGTTTCAGAGTGGCAGGACCTGTGGTACAGGAAGTGAAAGTTCCTAAACAGGTTATCTGCCTATGTTTTTTTTAACTTATTTTTACCAAAAGTTGTACCCTTATGTTTGTTTCTTGAGCTTATTGATCAAGTAATATTCGGGTTTCTCTCTGTACTGCGCTCTTGATGCTAACTTGGTTTCTCATTGTTCGAGCCAAACCTGTAACCTGTGGTGCTTTGTTATGTGCCGAAAACCTTTCTTGATGATGACCATAATCAGGATCATTTAAAATAATTTCAGATGAGAGTATCATTCTCCTGAGGCACTTGTCTCAACTCTATCATGGAACTCAAAGTGTGGGTGGAGGGAATTCAGAGGATTGTGTGTGGTGTTACGGAAACAACAACTTGTCAAGTGAGTACCAATGTTTCATTCTTTTGTGGATTCTACGATGTCTTTACCATCTTCTTCAAATGCCTCATAAAATCTATGTCATGTATGTACAGGATGTGGTTTATGCTCTTGCACATGCCACGGGTAAAACTGGCCGTTTCACCCTCATTGAAAGATGGCGGAATAATGAAAGGCTTCTTGCACCCCATGAACATCCTCTCAAGGTATTTGCTTGTGTTTCAATACCAACGAGTACATCTTGCCTCTCCCTTTTAGTTATTAAGAAACACTTAATGTACTGGTCCCCTCTTCATTTTATGTCGTTAGATTCTCATGAAATGGGGAGAGTACTCCAATGATGTCCAGTTGATTCTACAAAGGTCTGGGGGGCTTCAGCAATCTCCTTTGGGCCATTCACAGCAAACTCAAGCTGCTGACCCTCTGCATGGATTCTCACCGTCTCCCTCTGAATCACCAGATTCGAGGCACCCTGGGTAATTCACTTGTTTCAATGAATGAATGTTAAGTGTCAACAGAATCAAATAGAAATTAATTTTATGAAATTTACTTTATTTTCTAGGTTCGGAATGGTACATGAGAGAAACAAAGATATACGCAAGTCTCTTACGTTTTCTGGCGGACACCATCCTCAACCTCTTGCAGAAAGAAGGCTAGCCTTAAACCAGCAAGTAAGATGAGCTAAGATACCAGTTTCATTGCCTGATGGAGATGTCAGGTACCTTTCTCTAATCTTTTATTTAATTGTCTATGCAGGATGGTGGCAACAAGGTCAGTGCAGAGAGCATCCCTTCACCAAGTCAAACGCGACCGAATGCTGTTGAGAACAACAGCAATGTGAGTCATCATCCTCTAACTCCACAACAACAACAACAACAACAGCAGCAGCAAGGTTCTTCACAAGGGCTGAAGCGAGAGAGGGAGGCCCCCCCTTACCGCGCTCCCCCACCGGGTCCGGGTTCTGCCTCTGCCGTGGGAACAAGTCCCTCACCTGGGCAGCCAGGACAGCCTCGCAGCTTACCCTTGCCGCTCCCACTGCCCCCATATCGTGACCCACCTCCGCCAACTCAGAGTCCTGTCCGCCCCACCCAAGCTACTCCACCTACTCATCAGCCATCATCTGGCAGCAAACCAAGGAGGAACATACTCAAGGTATGCATGTTGTTTTTTCCCCATTGTCATTTCCATGATCCAGTTTATCACCGAGTTCTGAAATGTCATCATTCCTTTCAGGATTTTCCCACCACCTCCTCTGTTTCTGAAACTGATTCTCATCAAGAGGCAGTGCTCTTCAATGCTCAGTACCGTGATTTAGTGCGGCTTGTCAACTATCAGAGGGAAAAGTTATCTTCACAACAGTCAGAACTAACCAAGGTTTGGACAGAGAATTTTAGTCTGGCATGCATTGTCTACGGATTGATTTTTAATTTTACTTTCATGTTTTCTTTTTTAGTTTGATGCTGAAATTGTGTTCTGGGAGGGAAAATCTCAGGAGCAAAAGCGTCAAATGGAGCTAATAACTCAAGAAACAATGCGGATGGAAGCTCAAAGCCGACAAAGTGAAGAGCAGGTAAGTCTCAATGTTTTATCTACAATTGCCCAACAAGCAAAGTCTCTTTTGTGTTTTTCTATTAATTTTTTTTTTTGGTGTAGATAAGAGCACTGAGTCATGTAGAGGAAGAAAGTGAATTGGTACGTCAGCAAGAAAAGACTCTGAAATCGGAAATAACACTGCTACGCTCAAAATTGGCCAATTGTGAAACAGAACTTCTTCAGTGTAAAAACAAAATAAGGTGAGATTTTTTGATGCCATCAAGAAGAGCAATATCTATCTATCTCTTTTTCTAATTGTTTGTTTCCTGCTGTTAAGGTTATTGGTTGAGGAAACCCAGATGGAACAGAGGTCCTTGGTTGCTGAAAAAGAGAACAGACAACAATTAGAACGATCTCTTCTGACAGAAGTGGAAAGACTGCAACGTCAGGTGGACATAGCCAAGCAATCTTCAGAACAAACTGCCCAGTGTGGGGAGGATTTGCAAAGAGAGGTAGGGGTTGTGAATGGAGCTGTCTTTGTTTTCGTCTTTCGTTTCATGTCTTATTTATTCATTTTCCATTGTTTATCTATTACAGGTAGCAGCGCTGGAATCAGCTATATCAGATAAAAAGCAGCAGGTTGAGCAACTTGTTGCAGAAATGAAGGAGGCTAATCTCCAAAGCCTTGCTATTGCTCCTGCTGAAGAACTGAAGCATTTACTTGAAGGTGAGATAGATCACATTACACCACATTAATGCCCTTTTGTTAAATTTCAAGACACATTGAGTATGAATCTTGTCTTTCTCTTTTTGTGCTGGTCATCAGGATCCACATTTTGTCTTGGTAAGACAATACAGTATTTACAAAATACAAAAATATCAGATTTCCTTTTCTTCTTTTTGGGTGCAATAATGCAAGAAGAACACTCTGTTCTATTCTTGATAAAGTAATTAATTAGAACTAGATGTCTAGGCATAAGAAAATGAGAGACATCAACAAGGGGTTCAACTGGGGTTGAAACACCTCATTTTTGTTTTCTTTATTGTATGTGACTCATCTTTCTTAATTTTTTCTGCAGGCCCCCATAAACCTGGAAGCACTCGCAAGATGATTGGATCACCTCGACAATTGGAAAATGCTGTACCAACTAGTAAAAATCCTCATGGAGTATGGGTTTGAGGAACTGTCTCTTTTTCCTGACTTTGTCTTTGCTCAGTTGCAACTGATCAGATGAGTAAGAATAAGGTTTTTTAAAACTCCTTTTTCCTAATTTTGCCTTACACATTCCACAAAGCTTAGGTAGGAGAATGTATCATTCCTTTTGATATTAGGTGTTAAGATGTTCGGCAACTGTCAATTTGTGTTTCCTCTGTACTCTTTTTACAGTACGAAAGTCAAGTACTTAAACATGACTCACATTTAAATTATTTATAAAATCATGCAAACCGTTTTTTCTTTCTTTTCCTTTTGCTTAGTTCCTTTTAATTGTCTTTCACATAGAATTTCCTTAAAATATTTGCTTGATTTGTAAGAGTACGGTTTTTAGGCGGTGTTTGTTGGTTTGTTGGTTAGTCATATTAGCACCTTTATTATCAGTATTGGTTCTTGAAAGCATTTGGTGAATTCCAGTATTATCAAATCAGTTGCTCCAGATTTGAATGTTGAAAATTGTTGAGTTACATAATTTTTATAACTTGTTTTTGATGATATTGGTATCTTTGTCACTATTGTGGCTCTATTTTAGACGAGAATTTTCTGAACTAGAGTATATTTTCATCTTGAAGTGGTCTGAAGAGTGAAAGAATAAGCGATTCAATGTGTGCCTTTTGCTATATTTTCTGTACTTTTGTGCTATAGATTAATTTTTTTCCCATGTTTTGTCTTTTTTTAAGTTTTAAGTTTTTGATAAGTTGCATTGTCATCACTTCTACTGTGAAAGGTTTTACACAGCTACAAAGTCTATGTACTCTTCTAGTTATCATACATCACCATTTGTAATGTATAGTACTGCATGATGCAGAGGGAATGGGTTGTAAGCAGAGGCGTATTCTAATCTATTTCATTGTGGCACCCTCTGCCTATTTTCAATCTGTTGTGTTCATTTTTATATCTTTTGTGCTTTGACTTTTATTTTACTGTAGTACAAATACTCATTGATGCATCACAACATTGGATTGAAAACAGATTTTGCGATCTTTTGCTGGGGTGTGATGGATGCACTTAATTTTCAGTTTAGAGGTAGAATAAGCTCGATATAGCGTTTGTGACAGATGCCCAAAATAATCATCGCTATATGTGGCGGCCGATTTATGGCGTCTTCCGCGTTGGGGTAACGCATTTGTCGCACTTCAAGGGGGACTACGCTAAATCGAGCTTATACTCTCTTTGATGAACTTCTTTTTGCTAAAGAAAAGAAAGATATCTCTCATAGGAAGGACTTGCTATTGATTGTAGTGTTAGTTTCACAGTTTTTAGTTTTCATAATCAATGACGTACATGTCTTAAGTTTCAATGGAAAATGCTTTGCGGCACATAGGAATGTTGCATGCCACATTACCTCACAATTTTAAATGTTTTCTTGAAGTGTGGTGGTTCCATGTATATGAGAAGTCCCATTAGTCAGTGACACACTGCCAAAGAATTGTTTGTTTTTATTATTAATTAATTTAGAGTGCATGCATAGTTACAATAGTTTTAGTTTATCATCACAGCTCATGACTTTCATGAAATTATTATTGTACTGGATATTATTGATTGGTACACAATATTCGCTCGCTGCAATTCTGCTAGTCTAATATTTTTCTCCTCAGAAGGTAAACATTAATTCATTCTTTGCTTGCATTAAGTACAATATTTATTTGCAGGCGATATTGTTGATTTGTCAAACAGTAACACTTAAGTGCTTATTTACTTAAGCAGATTGGTTTGCATCCACCTTGGCTTTAAGTTCTCTCACTAAATGGCCTGGAAGTGCGCGCTGTCTGCGGCATACTTGGCAGGCGGATCCAGATTCCCGAACCAGAAGCGGTGCCGTGAGGAGCAGTGCGATGTAAAAGCGCCTGCACGGACGACAGCGGCATGCGGCAACACTGTGTTTCATTCTGTTCTTCATTATTTTTTCCAAGTGTGTGCCATTTGCTATCTGTTTCTTTCAAAATATATTCACTTGATTTGGAGGCACGATATCTCTTTATACTTATGTTGCACTCGTGTGTTGTTTGTGTTTGTTATATTTTATTTTCACATACTGTATGTTCTGTAAGTTGAGCTGCACCACTGTAGTAATCTGTGATTTTTCCAATCAAAAGTTCTCAAATTCATCCTTCTGTGACTCACGATCTTATGTAAATTATAAGGATTTGTAGTAAGTTATTTATATCTGTAAAAATAAGTTGTTATTTAGTGTTTTCAAGTTTTATGAAAGGAAATATGTGGTTGGGTGCTTGAGTGCCATACAACTCTGTTAATTATGGTGTTTAATGTATCCCAATAAAGGGTTTTCTTAAAAGAATTTATTGTGGTTAAGTATTAATAACCAAATTTGCCCACATTGCCAGGAGAGACTTCAATACCTACTTCGTTTTTATACAGTCTTCAATAAGATGTTCAATTGAGGTTGCAAGACATACTTTACACATATGGCCCTTTCCCTCTTTTAAAAATTAATTTGAAATAAATTTAACATTAATAAGCTATACATTTTGAAATAATAGTATCACAGGGTAAATTTTTCTGGAAGTCTAACTAATCTGTTACTTCTGGTTCTGCCCACTGGGTTGTTGGTGCAAACATATTCAAAACTCACTATCTGCATTCTTTCAGCCTGGGAGTCCAACCCAGATTCACTCAGAGGGCCTCTGAGCCACTGAGACTCCTGACATTGGCCTTACCAAAACTTAGACTGACGGTACCGGATTCTTCATTGAGATTTTTTCTGTTTACTCAAGGAATAAATTGACAGTTTCCTTTTCTAAAAGCCAGGCCTGGACTTACCAGTGGAAAGGAAAAGTTCCCCTCTTTGGACCACCAAAATGTGGTAGGATGAAGACAAGTCTAGAACGATTTATTTTTTAGTACCAAGGAGCAGGTCATCCATTCCTTTTGAGTTTTGATGAGGTGACATGGCTGTGAGAGGGATGCGTACCTCCCTGACTTGAATTGACTGCTGCTTCGAACCTTTGAGGAAACACTCAACTGCTGCTTGTTTCAAAGGGGGAAAAAAACAAACACGTACAAAGCCTGTGTTTAATTTAATGTATTTGCAATAGAATACACTTTATTACATAATCAATGCACATCTGGTCAAGTTTCATGGATGTCAGAGATGTAATGGGAGTAAATTGGTAAATTCTACAAGGGTTTGTTTTATGAAACAGTACTTTAGCTAGAGGGTTTATCAGCTGAAGGCTCTGGTGCTGATAAAGAAGTCTCCAGCATACTGGACAACGAAGACTTCAGTTCACATGCCAATGACATAGTGTTAGATGGTAAATCTTTCAGGAATTGACTAGTAGCAAAAACTCCTTGATTGTAGTACAGCTTTGACGAGGCGGCAAAATCGGTAATTGAGGGAAGTTCAGGTACCTTCCAAAACCAAGAGCATTTTGCATAAGTAAGGCATACTACAAAATACAGATTATGAGACTGATGTCACAGATACACAGAGGACCAGAAGATCAGCGCAGGCAGCCACACCAATTATGAACTATGCAGAGACGCTGAACAGGGCTCGAACCAAATGTGTTACCCCACCAATGGATTCCTCATCCAGTGGTGGCGTCACTTGATTGGTTTGAGTCCCATTCAGCGACTCGGGAACTCAAGACACATCTTTAGTTTTGGCCGCCTGCACCGGTCTTCCAGCCCACTGTGGAATGCTTCAGACACACTTACCTCAACAGGCACGTCTTTTACATAAGGGGCAACAGCTTGGTACAAGTCAGCGTAGACCTTGTCAGCTTTGTCGGTGTCCTCCCAGAGGCCTTGGTCGACAGTGTAGTACACAGCACCAGTCAAGATGCTGGCCTTTATGCCGAACCTGAACGAAGATATCAAGTAAACAACAAGCCATGGAAGGACAAAAATGTAGACTGCTCTACTTCATCATTTGGATCACACCAAGGGTAACATAACCTGTGCAGTTATGTTACCCTCATTTATTTTGCCTGTCACAAGGCGCGTCATTCACTGATAGACAGATCAAAGACAAATTGGTATGTTGAGACTCACTTCATAAGCCTTTTAGCCATGTTGGTAGGATGGAAACCTCAAAGAACCAACTTAATCTTCGAAACTTCACCTCAGTGACATTAGTCCAGTGGCACTGGCACTGTGCAAAGGGATGTATGTCGGTTTCCTTGATCATGAAAAATTTACCAGTACGCTATGTGCCTGGCTGGTGTATGATTGGTTGTCCACCTACCAGGCGCCTTCTGCTGTTGCCCCAGCAGCCAGCCGAACAGCGCATGTACAAATAATGCCAATTTTCTCTAGAAAAAGATATTTTAGGTCCGAAATAGTCCTTGAAATAGTGCCAGGAGTCATTACTGAATGCTCCAGCACCATATACCAAAATTTGGGCCGTTTTAAAGTTTTGACCGAAAACGGTAACAAACCCCCTTAACTTTTTTTTTCGACAGAAATGGTGGACCATCTCCGATTTGCCTGAAATTTATATGGAACGTTGCCGTTGGTCTAAGAAACAGATGCCCGATGTCCAGTGGACTTTGACTCATTCTTATGTGTGAAAATGACTCTTCCCCATGATGCTTGTTGAGTTCTGGTGCGAAGTCAAGGTGAAGAGGCTGAGGAAGATGGGTTGCCTACCCGCCCCTCGCGTGCTCAAATAATTCCAGTTTTCAGCTAGAAGAGGACAGATTAGGACCGAAATGGTCCTCGGAACAGTCTCGGGCAATAAGAAAAAAGACAGCCATGTTTAGTCTTATTTATTACCGACCAATCTTCTTTCGTTGCCGTTGTTATTTAGTTGCCTTTCCAGAAATCAAAACCCCAACACACGCTGCAATTACATGAAGTATTATATTTCTTTGAGAGCTTTTGAAAATGCTTTGGACTGCTGACAACTTCAGATTTCAGTTTGTTGGCCGTGCCTCCCGGTTGGTTGATGGAGATGCTCCTGATTTGATGTTCACTGCGCCGATCGGACGCCAAACTTGAGCACCATGTTGTGCTGGTACAATGATCCTGGGCGCAGCACACTGTCGGGGAAGCGACCCACCTGCGCAGCGTGGAACAAAACGGCGCGAGGTTTTAGCAGTGGCGCGACACGAGTTGGCGGCACAGCCGCCTTGATTTGAATTTTAACGAGGGTGCTCACGTGGTGGATGGCGTCGGGGAAGTTCTGCGTCTCCAGGCAGAATGCGCCGTGCTTCAAGTACTTGGCGCCGCCCTTGCCGACCACGGCGGCCTTGGACGCCCTACGAGGAATCGACAAATGAGAAGTTATAGTAATTTGACGACGAAACGGACAGTGGTGGATCCAGAAGCGGCCTTTGGGGGTGGGGGCAGAGTGGCGCATGTTGCCTACTTCGGAGGGGCAAAGCACGTCCTTTTTCTCACTTTTCACGTGATTATCAAGGTGTGAAGTAGCACTTGGTGTCTTACAGGCCTTACAGGCACCAAGTTGCCTACTTTTCGGACGATTGTGAAGGTCCCCTCCCTTTACACGAATCTCCAAGAATACCAAGACTAATGCTTACTCGGGCAGGCCGTTGCTCGTGTACACTTGCACGCCGGGCTGGTCGGTGTACACCTCCAGCGTGCGCCCGGAGGCCTCGTGGTAAGCTCTATTTAAAAGTAAAAACAATATTTTGTCAATGTTATTTAAAAAATTGAAAAAATTATAAATATTGATATTTTTCTTCGTACCCTGCGGCGAAGGCCATCTGGCCGGGCTGCTCAGAGCCGCGGGAGATGACGAAGTTGTAGTCCACGTCGGCCTTGGCGAGCACGTCGCCGAGCAGGGGGTGCGTCCGCATGTCGTAGGGGGTGCCGTCCACGTCGGCCACGCCGCCTGCAGGACGGTCGCCCAACATAAAAAGGGTTGCCTAGTCGCTCAACCTTCGAGCCAGGTTTCGACTTTCGACAGAACCCAAACACTCCCACGATGCAACAGTGTGGAAAGGGTTGCCTGCCTCAGCCTTCCTACCAGGGAATCTCTTGAAGCCCCGGCTTTCCTTAGTCGACATGCTGAGGTTGGCAACCCTTTCGACAGCAGGCAGAAACTTCCACGACATACCCGTGTCGAAAGGGTTGCCAACCTCAGCCTTTACCAGGCAACTTCTCGAGAGAAAAGCCCAGGTGGTGTCTGTTGGCAACCCTATCAACACCGGCGCATCGTTGCGAGTTTTTGCCTACTTAAGTGGCAACACTGGCTGCGGTCGGATTGAGGTGACCCCAAACCCCGACCAAACCCCCCAAAGAGCCATGCTGCTGCGCTGTGCTTACCGGTCGGAGTCTGGAACTGGTCCAGCACTGTGTAACGGTCGGCGTTGACGCCGAGGCGAGTCCGGTACACCTCCTCGGGGCCGGCGCCCTGTCGGGGCAGAAACATTACGCGACTGCAGAGCCGAGGCTAAGGAGGCAGAGGGGGCCACGCTGGAATTCCCACAGAACACGAAACGCTCGCCGTGACGTCATTCGATGTAGATATGACAGCTTTGAGTCGAAATTTCAACAAATAAACCGTTATTTTAGCCATTATACTGACGTCCTTTAGACCGTTATAAAGACGTCATTTTGAGCGTTATAATGACGTCATATTGAGCGTTATAATGACGTCATTTTGAGCGTTATAATGACGTCATTCTGACTTGTGTGACTCCAAGTGTTTTGATGGGACGGACAAGCACAGGGAGACTCACGTGGCCGGCCAGGTTGAAGTACGAGTGGTTGACGATGTTGACGGGCGTGGGCTTGGTGGCGACGGCCTGGTAGTGGACGAGCAGCCTGCTGTCGGCCGTCAGGCGGTACGTGACCTGGGCCAGCACGGCGCCGGGGAAGCCCTCGTCGCCGTCGGGGGACAGCAGCGAGAAGGTGACGCCGTCCGCGAACCGCGACGCGTCCCACACGGCCTGCCGGCCAACCCAGTCGTTCCGTCGCTGTCTCTGTCGCACTCATGGGGCTCTACGTGAGGGTGCGAGAGAGACAGAGCGACAAACCAACCGCTCGTCACTCGGCTGGAAATTCAGCGTGTCAACGGTCTGGCGACTCGTTTGACGGACCGACTCCGGCCGACTGGCTGAACGGCCGACTATCATGTCGAAAATCGTCTTCGTCGCTCTGTCTCTCTCGCACCTATGGCGGCACGCCGCATGAGTGCGAGAGAGACAGAGCGACGAAGGCGGCTCTCGCGATGACTCGTCTGATGCGCCGACCTTGTCCCAGCCGCGCAGGCCGCCGTGCAGGGTGACGGAGTTGGGCGCGTTGGCGTGGAGCTTGAACACGCTGCCGTCCAGGCTGAAGCTGGCGTTGGCGATGCGGTTGGCCACGCGACCCACCGTGGCGCCGAAGTAAGGGTTGTCCTTGCCCAGGTACCCTGCAAGGCGAGACAAGGAAGAGGATGCAGAGATCTAGCATGTATAGTCTGCAGAGTTGTTTCCGTCGCTCTGTCTCTCTTGCACCCATTGGGAAGGCCCCATGAGTGCGAGAGAGACAGAGCGACGAAATGACTCTTCTGAATCACCGGGCAGGCGTGGACTTAGGGGATCGTCGCCCTCCCTCAAGACTGCGAATTCGGCTTATGTTAAGCCGCCTGAAAGGTAGACAGCAGCACGTCGCTCCTGTACGTAGGCAAACCAGGAAGAGCTTACAGTACCTGGTGTACATGGGGTTAAGGGTAACGATAGTGTAGTTTGCTGTAAAACAGTGCGTACAAGTACGGAGTAGTCGGGAGTAGTTTAATTTGAGGCCATCCCGGGCAATTCTATTCCCGCCTGCCCCATACAATAACACAGACACATTGTTCATACCATATTACAGCATGCCTGTCAAGCAGACGATAGCTAGCTTTAAGCTTCAGGTTGATTCTTTTATGACAGTCAAGCATGTACACTCTTCGGCTTCCAGAGCATACGAAGCATGCGAGTCGCGTAATCTAGTCGAGTGGGTGCGACGCGGCGCGGCGCCGCCAGGCCTGGCCGATCCTGCAGACTGGTTCCGAGAGTCGTTTTCGCCGCTCTGTCTCTCTCGCACTCATGGGGCGTCCCGTATAGGCGCGAGAGAGGCAGAGCGACGAAAAGGACTCTCGGAATCAGTCCACTGGCGAAGCCTTAGCCGAGGCGAAGTCGGCGGAGCAAGGCGGAGCCACACACGGAAGCTCTCTATCCGTTATCTCGCCCGATTTGGTTTGCTTTGGGTCTCTCTCTCTCTCTCTCTCTCTCTCTCTCTCTCTCTCTCTCTCTCTCTCTCTCTCTCTCTCTCTCTCTCTCTCTCTCCCCCTCCCTCTAGGCGAGTCGCGGGACGCACCCTTCGCGAACTCCCGCCAAATTGAGACTGCGGCCGAGCAGCTTCAAGGACGCTCAAGGACGCACAGGCGGAGGGAAGTCCCGATCAAGCTTCCGCGCGTTTGCCCTCTTTTCGCACCGCCCTTTTTCATCTTTTTATTTCTAGTGTGGGGAATAGGAGGGGAAGCAGGGTTTTTTGGGGGTGGGAGGTGAAAATCTGCGGAAACACGCGCCCTAAGCAGGGTGCGCCTAGCCTGCTCGCATTCAAGTGCTCCAGGGAAATATTTCATGGTGTGTCAGGGGGAGGGGGGGCAAAACGGAAGCGCTTTGGTGGGGCGGACGGAAGGCCGTGCGGCGTATAACATGTTGAGACGAGCTGTTGCTGCAACAAAAGATGTGTTCCGAGACGCGCATAAACCGGGAGAGCGCCGCGAGCGAGCGGGCCTCTCAGGCCCGCGTAGGTCCTGCAGACTGATTCCGAGAGTCGTCTTCGTCGCTCTGTCCCTCTCGCACCTGTGCGAGGGAGACAAATAAGTGACGAAGAAGACTCTCGGAATCAGTCCGCTGCGGCTTGACGGCGGCCCTCCAGGCCCGGCGGCGCGGCGTGACGAGCGCCGTGACGAGCGCCGTGACGAGGTCGTCACAGGTGGCGACGCTGTCACGTCCTTCATCGGGCACGCCGGCACGCCGCTTAGCGCGCCGCGCGCTGCAGCGGCAGTTCTCACGCCGCTGCTGGACCGTGACTCTGACCGTGGCCGCGGGAAAACAAAAGCCGCCATCAACAACAACAAAGTGGCGGATCCAGAGCCGGCCCGAGGGAGGGACGGGCGAAGTGGCACTTCACTTTCAGGAATACGGCGTGGCTTTGAACACACCTTTCTGGCGGCTATCTAAGGGCCAAGGGGGGTCAATAGACGCTTTCGCTCGTCGCCGAGGGAAGAAGCCAGGAACCAGTGACTGGGGTGTACGTTAGTGAGTAACGTCCCACTGGTTCTTGGCTTTTTGCTTAACCAAAAACTTTCGTTCTTCACTCGGCAACGAGCGAAAGGTTCTTTTGTCCCCGCTTGACAACAACAACAACAACAACAACAACAACAATAACAACAACCTGTCTGCAGCCTTACCCTGCGGGTCGTCGAAGCCCATGACGATGTCGGCCTGCTTGCCCTGGCGGTCGGGCACCCGGATGGCGCTGATGATGGCGCCCAGCGTGATGACCTGCACGCTCACCTTGCCGTTGGCCAGCGTGTAGCGCTGCACGGCCACGCCGTCCGCCTTGCCGAAGGCGTCCTCGGTGACGTGCACGCCGACGCCGGCCAGGGCGGGCGCCGCCACGGCCGAGGCCAGGTCGGCGCTGGGAGCCAGGTTGGCGGCCGCCATGTCGTTGTCCGGGACGTCTGGGACCGTCTGGGACTCGCAGTGGTGGACGCGGACCTCGACGCGGGCGGTCGGCGTGAGGCTCTGGCGGAGAGCGGGTCGCGACTGGTCGTGCCGCGCCGTACCGGCTCCGCCGCCGTGGCCGCCGAGGAGGGGCCGTGGCGGTCGCCGTGGCGGTCGCCGCCGGGGGGCAGCCCGAGTTAGCCCGAGTCCCGGGGACTGGGGACCGGCGGCGCGGCGACCAGGCGGCAGACCGGCCGAGGGGAGATAAAGAGTAATGAGAAGAAAAACATAACGATGGAGCGAGTGTGGTGGTCCCGTCGTCTACGAGATGTAGGTAGAGCCGTGTCGTGTGATGGCGTTTGTGTGTGTGTGTGTGTGAGACAGAGAGAGAGAGAGCGTTGAGTAAATGCGTATGAGTGATATTTTTTTTGTTGTGTGTGTGTGTGTGTGTGTGTGTGTGTGTGTGTGTGTGTGTGTGTGTGTTTGAGTGATTGAGGGGGCGGCAGCGGGATATGCAATGACAACACGCTTTGAGTCAGCTTCCACTCATCGCCGCTCAGGCTAATTAAGTTTTATTTCTCCAAATCATAAATACACTGTTCATGATATTTTTTTCAAGTTTGCAACAGTCTTGAATAGTTTTTTCATCATATAGAAAGAGTGATAATGCTTTTAGAAAAAGCACGAGATTCTCTTGTTTAATTTACAAAACTGCTGATACATGTAACACCACAAGGCCTAACACAACAACTTTAAGCTGGCAAGAAGATGCTTCACTTTGAATTCACAAATACACTATTTCCATCTGCAACTTACGCAATTGTCAATTTAAACAAAAAATGACGATAAGGGATTTCATTACTCGTTTGTGTTTAAAATTACGAACGTCATTAAGAAATATTTCCTGTAATTCTCACACAAAAGCAAGGCGTTGTAACTCCAACTAAAACAGACGCATGGGATTGGCAATGTAAAATTATATATAAAAAATAATGAAAATGTAACTAGAATGATGTATTTCATTTTACTTTGCAAAAATACAAGTACTGTCTATATTTTTTATGCTTTCACTTATCTATTTTAACAATAATGACACTTTATTAGTGATACACGCTTCGTTAATAATCCACTAATGCGATCTGTCTGCCTGCGTGACTAAACGGGGTTCAAATACACAGAACGAATCCGATTTCGTGACTTCTAGTGAACTGAGGGCTTCTTACGGTAGGTAATGTTTGTAATATTCGCAAATAATTTTACATAACATATATAACAGTCAGTCACATCAAAAATTACTTTTTATACAAGACAATGGTATTCGCCGCGAATGTGCGTACGTACACTATTTACAAGTTGCTCTGAAAATAAATTGATTTTGCTTTGGGCACGCACGAGCAAGCTGCTATTTAGAATATTTTTTTTTATCCAAACAGAAAATGCAAGCGGCAGCGCGTTTTAGGGGCACGCATTGCTCTCCGTCGGCCTGCCAGGGACTTCCCCGAAGCGCGCCGCCCATGTTTTAGAGTGACAGGGTTGGGCTGGCACGGCCCGGCGACCCGCCGCCGTGCTCGCCGAAGAAGGCGCAGTTTTAGGGGTGTTTTAAACAATTAGACAGCTCGAGTTCTTTTTTTTTTGTTTTTCTCTTTTTAAAAATAAATAACAGAACGCGGCGCAGATGCTCGTGCGCGCTTGACGCCTGACAGACTAGCGCCGGCTAGCCAGGCTAGCGCTACACGATGCTACGGTACACTGGTACAGGCTATATACACGAATGAAGCACGTCACGCCGGGTGCGCTATCCATACTGCTGCTCGGGATGCACGCCCAGACAGAGGCAACACAGTGACGTCAGAGTGACGTCACAATGACGTCAGAATGACATCCCGAACCTGTCCCGAATCGGCAATCCGCCGCCCTCCGTCTGGGCTGCGCTTGACTCGCTGCGCCGGGGACGGGCACAGCAGGGCTGCATTGCTTGTGCTGCACGCCGCCCCCATAGTACTTTTAATACATAATATATATTTTGACAAAATTTGACAAAGTGAGATGCTAACTTGATTGGGTTTCACGCAATCACACGAATTAAGGAAAGGCACCGCTAATTTTTTCGGAACGTCCGATCGAATCGTCGCACAAACATGGCAAGGGCAATTAGAAAGAAACCTTAAGGTTTGTTTTTGTCGGTTCCACAGGAAAAAAAAGATGCACCTCGATGAAATTTTGCATAGAAAAATAAATAGATAATGCTTGGATATCTTTCATCACGTGTTACACAGCTAATCCAGAAAGCCCTCCTACCGAACACACAGTATGGACGACCAGACTACGGCAATTTTTAACAATAACATGGTGTACCATTAATCCGGTACAGAATATTCTTAGACAAAAAAATGTGGACCAATAGCAATGAATTGCGAAAGGTCAGGGGGTACAATTGGCACAAGAAAAACTCCAAACGGGTAGAATACCGCAGGGAATACATTGAAACATGTCTACAAGCAGACGGCGCCTCGAGACTGCGCCAACGAGCCGAGAGAAACGGAAACAACAACAAAATGGAAATCGACAACAACTCTACCTCACGCGGAACCATAGGTCACGCCCGGGAGAAGTGCTGGCGAGGAATGGTAATACAAACACATCCTCCACACAAGGTGCAGAAATGGTGAGGGGCAAGGCAAGTGCTTTGGTGGCGCCCCCTGTGCGGTCACCGCTTGCCTCAGCTTGCCTGTCTTGTGTCGCGCTACTCCACGCGAAATTGGCTGCATTTCGACCTTTCTTCCCTTTCTTTCTGCGTGTCATAGACAAAACGGCTACGGAAAAAATGTTTGATAACGTTTACAACGCGCGGCAAACAACCACAGAGACAACGGTTTACACACTTGCCTCAAAACGTGCACTATCATTATCTATGTACATAAAAACGTGGAAACTCACAATTCATTCAAACCTCTTGCGAAAAAACACAACAAGAAAAACATCACATATCGCTTAGCCAAATTTCTATCTGCTGCGTATAAAAATGACACACCCTATTTTCTAAAACAACTTTTTTTGTCTAACTCACTGATTTGATACCTTTTTAAATAAATTAACGCTACCCACGGGGATAATAAACCAAACTTGTGATACCGTCCCAACTTTCAACGAGGTTCGGTAAATCCTGAATTCCCTACTCGTGGACACTCCTTCGTCGCCAAAATGGTGCTTTTCTGTCGCGATGTTTCGAAAGCTTGTGACAATTTCAGTTGCGGGAGCAAGTGCATGCAGCGATTTCATACAAACTACAACGAACATGGCTAAAACTTGGACCCTACCCTTCCCTTTGTTAAAAACAAAGTAGAAATTTTATCATTTTAGACTTTACGTAAAGATGGGCCATTAGAACGCTTCAAGTCTTTGAAGTAAGCCGAAAAAACAACAACATAAAATCACACTCAATGGTTAACGGGAGAAATATTACCAACCTCAGGACAAAACGTTATCACAATAAATTTCTTTTTCAGGTTTTGAGTGCTAAGCAAGGTAGCAAGGTCGAGATATCAGTTCGATAAGTAATAAACGAAAATTTAAGCACTACATGTGCGTTTCGATTAATCCTTAATACGAAGATCTTATCGACAAGGAGAATAAGAGATGTTTCTAAAAACAACAGAGAGCAAGGGGCAAGTATTAATACCATGATTTTCGAGGTAATCTAAACTCAGTGTTTGGCTCACAGGGGATTCAGTGTTTTTAATTTTCTTTTGCGACACATTGGAAATGAAAGATTATATAAATTAACGAGAAGAGAAGGGACAGGACTTCACAGTAGTGCGAAATGTTGGCATTCCCTGCCACGTATAGGCAAAGGTGTAAAAGTTTCGTTGCGCGTTCTAAAAGGCTAGCTCGCTTTGCTTCTTTGTTTTCCGATCCCAGAAAGCGTTTGACATTTTCTGCGTAGTGTCCGTCGACAGGTCGGGTACCCCAGCTTCAGCTGCAGAGTGTGAGTGTGGGCCAAGACTCTAATCGGGGCAGAAGCGGTCGGGAAGGCCGTAGGCAAGGCCATAGGCAAGGCCAAGCACCTCAAGGCATCACGAAAAACAAGCGAAAAGGGAAGTTTTTAGCAGAAGCCACCCATACTTTAGTTTATACAAGATGAAAAAGTCTCTCCTAATCATTATTCCTTACAAGATCCTCTCGAGCGAAGAAAACACCCACAGGGCCGCGTGCCCCTCATACACGTCGACGCCTCGGTGGAGCGCTTGCAGCAGAGAGGCTCTTGATACAAAGACACTACAAAGGTACGCAGACAACGAAATCTAAAGTCAACTACAGCTGTTAAACCACTCAGCTAAAAGAGAATCAGTCTCAGGCCACCCATCGGCGTGGGCGGACCCGGACTTCCAAAATGTTCTCGATAAATTGAAAAAAGTGAACCAGAGGTCAATGTTCCACGGAACAGACAGACGCTGGAAGATAAAAACGCAGAGATAGAGAGATGAGAAAGAGAGGTTCAGATTGAAAGTGATCACAATTAGAACTGAAACGGATTCCCGGATATGACGGCACGAGAGGCTCGAGAGATATGGAGAGAGAGATAGAGAGACCACTGCGAGACCGCCCCACCGTGCCGGGCACGCCAGAGGCACGCCAGAGCGTCGCTAGAGGCCCCGCGCCGCGCCAAGCCGCGCCAAGCCGGGCACGGTGTCCACGAAGTGCCGGAGGTGCGCCAGAGGCCGTCGACGAAGAACGGTGCCACAGGCTTGGCTCTTCATTCCGGCTTGAGGCGGTGCCACTGGACGATGGTCTGCCTCGGCTTGGTGATCATGTCCTGCCAGTGCTTGGTCTCCGTGGCGCCCGACCCGTTCTTGCCTGCCAACAACAACAACAACACAATCAACATCAGGAGGACAGAGATCGGGTCGCTGGGCGTCACGCCGTTATCAGGCGTGTAATGTTCCACGTGAACTGGTGCTTACAACGTGCTGAACGAGAAAAGTCGTGCCAAAAAGTGGCATGACAGACCGTTTTTCGGCGTGGGCGTTTTTTTTCATATTCATGCCCCTGAAATGGCACGAAGTCACGCCGATACATTTTCAGTGACGATGCGTTTAAATTTGCACGTATTATGCATAGTTGTCAACGTAAGGTATACGCATGATTTCATCGTGTTACGATGAAATCTTTGTAAGTACTCTTCTCCTCAGTTTCCAGTGTATCTCCATCGTAAAGTTGATGTCAAGTAGAGTGTACCGACCGGCCAGCAGGATGCGGCCGATGAGCTCGTTGCGGCCGATGTTGTCGAAGTCCATGACCATCACGTCCAGCGAGCACTCCCGGATCTTCTCCCAGGGCACGTTGAAGGAGAAGGTCTCGTTGAAGACGGGGTTCAGCGTCACCTTGAAGATGGGAGTCTTGCGCTTCTCGATGCGCTTGTCGCCGAACTGCAGCCACACCTTGACGTACGGATCTGGAAAGGAAAGTCACAGGTTCAACTCCCGTGTCTTTTCGCTTCATTTTTTTCCTGGCTCACTGGTGACGCAATGTCAAAACTAAATTTGAAATATCCCGAAAGTGCATTCCGAAGCTTCTTCGGGAATTTGCAGAGGCTTCGCATTTCAAACAGATTTTTTTGGGGGACTCTCAATGTCCAAAAATCTTAGTAAAATGCTTCACAAACAAAGTTAAAAAAAAAACTATGAATGATTTTTTTTGCAGTCTATTCCTATTTGCTGGAAACTCATTCAAAAATAAAACATAGGAGGTTATGGAATTTACTTGACTGAAGATCCCCGGGTTCTCCGGGGGGAGTTTTCTGAGAAATTTTTGGCAGTGATGTTTTTCTCACCCGATTTGCCGTTGATGTCCTTGGCCTTGAGGTTCTTGGCCTTGAGCAGCGTGAGCGTGAGGATGCTCTGGCTGGGGTGGTAGCACAGTGACGTGAGCAGCTCGCCGCACTTGTCCTTGGCGGGGGGCTTCAGCGCCTTCCAGAAGGATGGCTTCTCCGACAGGTCAACCTGCACACACACAAACAACGTCAACGTCACTTTTCCCAGACTTTACACACAAAAATGTTTATGTGTTTTTATTGTCCAATACTATTGTCACATTTGTGGATACGGAAGCTATGTACAATTAGGGACAATATTTCCATATTGTGCTTAGTATTTATAAAATGAAGCCCAATTTATGTACGTATTTGTACATAAATTACGTATGCACAAACATGGCAATAGTTATGGACAAAAAGTCCATTGGCATTTAGCGTGTATAGACAGCAGTAGTATATTTTTTTTACAGTGGTTAGAGGGCGCCTGGCGGGTAGGCAGTCCCGTAGCGCAGCCCTGTCGGCGGGAGTGCCTACGCGCCATTCCACAGGGGCCCTGCCCTCCTCTTTACATTTTTCCAACACTTTTCCTCTCCAGAAGAACGACCAAATTACCTGACAGAGCGGTAGGAACACTTCTCCAATGGAGTCATCTCTGGAGAAGCGATCGTAGTCGAAAACGTGGAGGTGCAGGACTCGACTCTGGAGCTTCTGGATCGGGAATCCTGCAACAGGGAACACATTCCTTTAGCAAGGCATCGGCAGTCGGCGGGCAAGGCTTCTCGCAGACCTCCTAGTCTGGCGTCCCTGCGGCCCTTAAAGCTTGTTTCATTCATCCGGCCCTGCCCTTTATTGGCAGTGCTTCCAGCAGACTATTTCCGAGAGTCGTTTTCGTCGCTCTGTCTCTCTCGCACTCGCGGGGCGTCCCGTGTAGGAGCGAGAGAGACAGAGCGACGAGAACGAATCTCGGAGTCAGTCCACTGCCCAGTGCCTGGCGGTGCTGGCGGTGCCCGGCCAAGCTGCTTACCGCCGCGCGGGGCAGTGGAGCAGGGCGCAGGGCAGCCACCTCTGTCTCTCTCGCACTCACGGGGCGCCCCGGAGGGGTGCGAGAGAGACGGCACGACGAAACAGCCCTTCGAACGCAGGCGGCAGAACTACTTTCCCGTCGCTGCCCCTGTTCCCCGTTCCCACCGTGCACCTGTTATTCGCAACGGGATCCGTTGGGTCAACACGCCGCGGGCAGCGGCCAGCGCGGCCAGCGCCCCACAGTGGGCCAGAAGGCCGGTGGAGGCGGTCCAAATCCCGGACGCGTTTTGAGCTGCAGAGTCCGCTGAATGGTACTCGAACCAAACGTTGTGACCCCACCAATGGATTCCTCTCCGAACGAGGAATCCATTGGTGGGGTCACACGCTCGGTTGGAGTCCTGTTTAGCGACTCTGGAGCTCAAAACGCGTCTAGAGTTTCGGCCGCCTCCACCGGTCTTCTGACCCACTGTGCGCCCTCTCACGAGACCAGCCCCAGCTGGGGCGGGACACCGGACGTGCCCGAAGAACGGGCTAGCCAATGCCGAGCCGAGCCGAGCCGAGCCGGCCCAACAATTAAACGCACAATTTGTGTTTGGACAACAGCAGCAGCAGCAGCGGCGGCGGCGGGTAAAGCGACTCCGCCGCCGCCATGGGCGCCGTGGGCGCCGTGGGCTGACGGCGATTCAAAACCCGAGTCGCAATTAATCCGGCCGCCGCGTTTACGGCCGTTTTCGTGTCATCGGCAAACCGGGCAAAGCGGCCAAAGCGGAAAGACCGCGCCGGGGCGCCTCAAAAAGGCAAGCAAACGAAACAGGGGAAGATACTGATGGATCGGCGCGGCGTGGCGCGGCGCGGCGGAGGATTGGTGGCGATGAGAGCCGAAATAAACGATAACGAGCCAGGCGGGGCGGGGCGGGGTGGGGTGGGGTGGGGCGGGGTGAGGCGGGGCGGGGCGGCAGTGTGCGTGATATATTGGAGGCCTTCTTGCTTGCCGGGGGTAGGCTCGCCCGGGGCGCCGCCCCAAAATGATGGCTGTCACTACAATTATTCTTTTTCCTTTTCCCCGAATCACCCTATTTTTGTTTCGCCCAGGCGGACCTGCCAATTAGCCCCTCCCCGATATCAAGTCGAAGCGCCATCCCGCCATGCCGGCTCTGTCTCTCTCGCACTCACGGGCAGTCCGCGATGAGCGACAAGGACAGGGCGATGGAAAACGTGGACGACCCACTCACTCGCGGCGGGGAAACAATATCGGGGGAAAAGCGCGCGAAAAATTCAATCGCCACGTCGCCATGTGTGGGCTCGCCGCTCGGCGGCACTGTTATCGCCGAGAATGGCGTGAAATTAAAGAGAAAAGGAAAACGAGACGCTGTAAACGTCTAACAGTGAGTTTTCAGGTCGTGATACAGTCGAACTTCAGAACTCGCCTCAGGAGCAAATGTCGGCAAACATCCTACTTTTGATTATCGCTCTGTAAGACACAAAGAAAAACCTTCGGAGAAATTGGCACATTTGCATTGTGCTTGTGCCCCTTGTACACCATTCTTGGTACATCTTCGTGAGACATCTACAGTGGACGCGCGGCTGGACGGCGGCGGCAGGGCAGCGCCGAGAGGCAGGCAACCCATCGCGCAGCGGAGGCGGCGCCACACAGTGGGCCAGCGGAGCGATGTCGAACATCGCCGTCCCCGTCGTCGCTCTGTCTCTCTCGCACTCGTGGGTCGTCCGACGCAGGGCGAGCAGGTTGAGAGAGAGAGAGAGAGAGAGAGAGAGAGAGAGAGAGAGAGAGAGAGAGAGAGAGAGAGAGAGAGAGAGAGAGAGAGAGAGAGAGAGAGAGAGAGAGAGAGAGAGAGAGAGAGAGAGAGGGGTTGAGTCGCGCGGGCCCGAGCGGAGATTGCGCGTTAATTTACTCGGAGGAAATGGGCGAGGGAGAAAAAGAGAAAAAGTAATAAGGGAGACAGCCACAATAACAGCGCGACAAGCGGACCGATTTTATTGACACACGGGAGCAATTAAGAGCCGGGACGACGTGGCCGTGACGGCCGGGGCGGCCAGGCCGGGGTCGCCAAGCAAGCGCTGCAAGCGGCGTTATTTCGTTAGCGATCGGGAAGCGGGGCGCGGAGGCGCGACAAGTCCAAACGGCCAAGGGGGCAGCACGGCGACCGACTTCTCAGGCGTCTTCGCCTGCCCCTTGGCCTGCCCTGGTGCCCCGAGAGGGCCGTCAGTGGGCCAGAGGCTAGAGGACCGCTGGTGGAGGCGGCCGAAACTCTAGACGCGTCTTGAGCTCCACAGTCGCTAAACAGGACCCGAACCGAACGTGTGGCCCCACCAATGGATTCCTCGTTCGGAGAGCAATCCATTGGTGGTGTCACACGTCCGGTGCGAGAATTTTGGAAGGCAGGTGCGTGCAGCTGGCAAGGCTGGACACTGGCGGGGAGGGGGGAGCAAGTTTCGTCTTTCAGTGCCCCTCGCGACTCGCCCTCCTTTGCAAATGCTTTGGCGCCCCGCAGTCCACGGCTAACGCGTTGCTGCTAGTGTGTCGCCGTAAACAAAGAAGCGCACAACAACTCTTCTCTCTCTCTCTCTCTCTCTCCTCTCTCTCTCTCTCTCTCTCTCTCTCCTCCCTCCCTCCCTCTCTCTCATTTTTCGTCGAGATGAGGCGACACAATGCGACTGCTGACGAGCAGGCTGCCAGGCAGGCAGGCAGGCAGCCAGCCAGCAGAAGGCCCAGCTGCAGGTAGTGGGCCTCGTGTGAGAGGGACGCAGAGCTGGGCGGCGGCACGGGGTAGCTTGCGCGAGACTAGGCTTCGGTATGAGGGTGCAGAGGCTACAGGGCGCCCAGTCCAGGCCCAGGGCCGTGCCCACCCGGAAGGGACCGGCCTCGGCCCGGCCGGCCTCATCAAGGGCGTGCAGTGCAGGCGCCAATCGGGGTCCTGGCGGCCGGTCCGGGCCGTCCGGTCGGCCAGGGCGGCCAGGTGGAGGCGGCCAGGTGGAGGCGGCCTTCCACGTGGCCAGCTCTAGCCAGGGCTCGGCCAACCCGCCAACCCCTGCCTGCCGCCCGCCCCGTGTCCGACGCGCTATCAACTTCCTGCGCCTGTGTGAGTGGGCTGAGCTGATAGGCATGACATTGCTCCACCGCGCTGCATTTCCAGTGCGGCAGCGCGTGTGTGTGACCGTATCACACCCTTTTGGTCCGGTGGGCACGTAGGGCATCTCATACGCGTGCGCGCGTGCACACACACACACTGGCTGCCCTTATCGCGGCTGTCCATCCCGATCAAGCGCCATCAAACCAGGGCGCCCCCTCCCCCACATCAGGGGGGCGACTTTGAGGGGGCATTCTTATGAGATGAACGTCCCTTCCGCCCCAAAGGCCCGAAGGGCCCGAAGCCTGAAGGGGCCACCTGTCGTCGTCCTGGCTGCTCGGGCTGGCTGCTCGGGCTGGCTGCTCGGGCTGGCTGCTCGGGCTGGCTGCTCGGGCTGGCTGCTCGGGCTGGCTGCTCGGGCTGGCTGCTCGGGCTGGCTGCTCGGGCTGGCTGCTCGGGCTGGCTGCTCGGGCTGGCTGCTCGGGCTGGCCCGCCCACCGTATTGACCAAAGGGATGACACACATCACGACGTCATCGCACGCCGCGTCTTCCCTTGGTTCCGCCTCCCCGCCCCCCTTAAGCTAGTTCCGAAAATCCCTAACGCCCCCGATGCCGCGCCCCGCAGCTCCACGCCCCGCCAACCCGCAGCCGCCCGGCACGGCCCCCGCACGGCCCCGGCACGGCACAGCACAACGAGGGGTTGGTGTCTCCGGGGAGGTGGCCCCGCAGTCTCGCCCCCCACCCCCTCTTCACGCATTGCACGGCGCGAGCGCGCACACACGTACACACAAACGCACACACGCACAGGCGCGCGGGCACAGCCGCGCTGGCTCCATAGCCGGGCCGCTAACAGGGATATACGGCATGCAGCGGCGGTAATGTCGGCACCGAGCCCCTAACCCTCATGACCCGGCCCGCCCGGCCTGGCCTAGCCTGGCCGCCTTCATGTCCTCCTCTTTGCGCCCCACTTTTATCATGCCCCACTTTTGCCGCGAGTCCTTGTCCCCGCCACCGTCCTCCTCTTCATCATCCTCGTCACCCTCCTCTTCTACACCGTCCTCGTCACCGTCCTGGTCCTCCTGGTCCTCTTCCTCTTCGTCCCCCTTTTATCTCTCCTCTTCTTCTTCTCTCTTTCTTCCCTTCTCTCTCTTCTTCTTCTTCTCTCTCCTCTCTTCTCCTCCTCTTCTTCCTCCTTCCTCTTCCTCTTCTTTCCTCTTCTTCCTCTTCTTCCTCTTCTTCTTCCTCCTCCTCCTCCTCCTCCTCGTCATCCCCATGGTCGACGTCGTCCTGCTCACCGCAGAGGGTGCGGCGGCGTGGTGGTCACACAGGTCCGGGGCCCCGCGGCCTCGGCGGACACGTACAAGGCCCCCTTAACCCTCGTCCCCCCACTCACACGCAAAATCACGCAGTGTCTCTCTCTCTCCTCTCTCTCTCTCTCTCTCTCTCTCTCTCTCTCTCTCTCTCTCTCTCTCTCTCTCTCTCTCTCACACACACACACACACACACGCACGAGGATCGTTTTCCCCCTGCAGGCTGGAACACGGCGCGGGGGCGTGGCCGTGTAGCTTTTCTAACCGATTTCCCCCTCCGGCAGTGAAATTTATCACTTGTCATGCGGCATGTAGGGTAATGGGTCTCCCGCCGGATGGCTCGGCCATTTTAAACCAAAAACAAGAAGAGCAGCAACAAAAACGAGGCGCGGTAGGCGGCGCGAGTTCGATCCTTTTTGATTGAAGGCGATTGGCATCCCTGGCGAATGTTGCCTACTTACAGGCGTTTTTGCCACCTGAATGTGGAATGTGGTCAAGTTTTGTACAATGAATGTGGGAAGCTGTTCCCCCTCGAGTGAAAAAATTTAGCCAGTGGCAGAGCCCTGGAGCCAGCCGCACGGCGCTAGCGGCGCTAGGCCCGGCCGTGTCCTGTGTGCGCATGTCAAGCTAACCCCAATACCTCGACAGCAGGGGGAGGGATGGCTGTCTCGGGTACACGCTGCCGCCGGTACGTCAGAGAGGCGAAGGCGCTCCGCGGCGACGAGGCGACGAGGCGGGACGAGAGGGCGTCAGGACCATACTACTTCGCGTGAAGAGGCGATCCCGCCAGATCGAGGAGGATAGTGCTGTAGGTTGCCACCTCTCTCTCTCTCTCTCTCTCTCTCTCTCTCTCTCTCTCTCTCTCTCTCTCTCTCCCCCCCTCCCACCCACACACACATCTTGCCGGAAAAATGTTGTTCCTTATTTTTCCGCCATGCCAGCGCTATTGTGCCGCCCTTCGGTACCCACAGACGGGTATATTTCGCTATCAGACCGCGCGACGCCCCCCCCCCTCTCTCACTTCTGAAACGGGCTCTGGGGAGGGGGCGGGGGAGTCGTTTGATAAACGGTGCCACTGCAAACAAATGAAGAGCGCGCGGGAAACAGATGAACACGGACCGGGAAAGGAGGGGAGGGGAGGGAGAAAGGAGGGGAGGGGAGGGGCGACGACGACGGCAGGCCGACGTCAGGCAGGGCGGTCTGATAATGAGCCTGCAAAGGATCCCGGCTCTCCTCTGCGCGCGCATCCCGCCCTCCACGGTTAATTTTTTAAAAGGCCAGATTCCCATCCGAGGTATTTATTTTTTTGTTTGGCCCGAAGGGAAAGAGACAGAGAAGCTCTTCCGAACTTGCGAGGTCCCGCCGCTGCGCGCCGTCGTTCGGAATGCTGTACGTCAGCGGTCTGATTCCGAGAGTCCGTTTCGTCGCTCTGCCTCTCTCGCACCTACGCGACGCCCCGTGAGTGCGAGAGAGACAGAGCGACGGAAACGATTCTCGGAATCCGTCTGCAGCAGGGCGCCTTCGTTTCAAGTGGAGCCTGCATCATTGGGGTCGGCATGGGGCGAGGGAGCAAGCGTGCGTGCGGCCCGACTAGTCCTATCGTCGGAGCGAGAGGGGAGAGAGCAAGGGAGAGCGAGGGAGAGCGAGGGAGAGCGAGGGAGGATCCGCTGTGCCGCCGGCCAGGGGGACAAAAGATACAAGGACAGGCAGTCAAGATTTGATGGTCCTTCCAAGCGCCGCTTTGATGTCGCGAGCAGGCCCCCCCCCCCCCCCCCCCCCCCCCCGGGGGCCCCCCTCCGGCCGGACGAATCCCTGCCGCGGCCCCGCCGACGGCCTCCCCTCCATTCTGAAGGGGGGTATGGCGGCGGTGCCCCCAGCCGGGCCCCTCAGAGTGTTGCATCCGTGTGCGCGTCCCGCGGGCTGGCCGCGGTCGAGAGCCAGGCACCTGAAAGTGGCGCGGCGGGGTCTCGCGGGCGCGACGCGGGCGCGTTGGGGGGGATGATGGTCTCTTAGCGACCCCCTCCCCCGCCGCGCCCCAAATGACGCGCTGGCCAAAAAAATGGCGGGGT